GTTAAGAAACAACGTTCTTCTCTGTGAATTTCAGTACTTCACCATAACGTTTCCTACAGGTTTCCTCATGGTTCTATTTAAAGTCATGTTCTCACATTGTTTCCGAGAACGTTAAGAAAATGTTCCATAAAAACCACAAGAAAACTTCAGCAACGTTCAGAGAACATTCTAAGAATGTTATTTAAAAACATATACATTCCGTTCTCAGCATCAACAAAACTCTCTATCTTGTTAAGTTTGTTCAGGTTTGTTAGCCGAGCCCACTAATTGGCCACACCCGCTCTTAATAAGTGCTTGTTTCCTTTGAAATGGGGTCTGTTTGAATAGACTAAAATTAACAGCTTTGTATGAAAAAAAAAACATGGCATACTAGCTCCATCCTGGTGGCACAGTGGACTAGTTCCATTGATAGAGAACAGAAGATCATAGGTTTCGAATCTCACTGACGCCGTGCCACAATAAAAAAGAAATGTGTTTGCATGATTAATGCCCAAGCAAATGAATTTCCATGTGTCTTACCTGTGCTTGGAGTTTAAAACAGGTAAATCAAACTAAGCAAGCAGTGTTCTTTTAAGTCATACATGTTCTCAGAATGTTATTTAATTACCTTCAAATAACCTATCATTTCTGTTCTCAGAACGTTAATAAAACCTCCCAGGAAAACTTTCAGGGAACCATAGTAAAACCTTCTCAGAACCTCCCTGCAACCTAAAAATGTAAGTTCCCAGAACTTCAGTTTAAAAAACGTTATGTTTTACCGGTCAGGAAACTTATGGCTTCATTCCCAGATCCAATGGGAAACCAAAAATGTACTTTCCCACAACTTCCAAGGAACCAAATGTGCTAGCTGGGCAGACACACAGGTTGAAAGAGTTCTATTTCTCAGGTGAAACTAGAGACATGGATTGTCTCTCTTCGTTTCGTGTTGAAATTAATGTGTGCAGTGCAGCGAGACAGGGTTCAATACCTTCTCAGAGGAGAGAGAGAAAGGTTGGTTTACAGAACAAATCAGAACATGAAAACACACGTCGGATACACAACACACACTGAAGCAGATCGGATTGAAATGAAAGAGAAAGAAAAAGAAAGAGGCATGCATACTGTAGCTGTTGATAGCAGTCTGTGCTGTCAGAAAGATAATGGTGTTCATTAAACCACTCCAAATAAACATCATTGACGTGATATGAATATCAATGAACTACCCTGGTGTGGTTCCCTTGAGTAAATGTATATAAACTAGGGCACTGTGTATATACACTGTGCATATGAACTAACTAAATGCATGCTACAGTCTCCATGGATGCGTCCCAAATGGCACTCTATTCCCTATATAGTTCACTACTTTTGACCATAGCCCCATGGGCCGTGGTCAAACGTAGAATGCTATAAAGGGAATAGGATGTCATTTGGGACGCACACTGGATGATGAATAATAGAGACTGGCCTCATTGAGGGGGGAGTGGACTCGTTATCACAGTGAGAAAGAGGTAGGGAGAGGAGGAGATATGAGAGGAGTGGTGAAAGGAGAGTTATTCACCTAAAATGAGCCATACTGCAAGAGGAGGAAGGTGTGAGAGACGATACAGTGGGGAAAAAAAGTATTTAGTCAGCCACCAATTGTGCAAGTTCTCCCACTTAAAAAGATGAGAGAGGCCTGTAATTTTCATCATAGGTACACGTCAACTATGACGGACAAATTGAGAATTTTTTTCTCCAGAAAATCACATTGTAGGATTTTTTATGAATTTATTTGCAAATTATGGTGGAAAATAAGTATTTGGTCACCTACAAACAAGCAAGATTTCTGGCTCTCACAGACCTGTAACTTCTTCTTTAAGAGGCTCCTCTGTCCTCCACTCGTTACCTGTATTAATGGCACCTGTTTGAACTTGTTATCAGTATAAAAGACACCTGTCCACAACCTCAAACAGTCACACTCCAAACTCCACTATGGCCAAGACCAAAGAGCTGTCAAAGGACACCAGAAACAAAATTGTAGACCTGCACCAGGTTGGGAAGACTGAATCTGCAATAGGTAAGCAGCTTGGTTTGAATAAATCAACTGTGGGAGCAATTATTAGGAAATGGAAGACATACAAGACCACTGACAATCTCCCTCGATCTGGGGCTCCACGCAAGATCTCACCCCGTGGGGTCAAAATGATCACAAGAACGGTGAGCAAAAATCCCAGAACCACACGGGGGGACCTAGTGAATGACCTGCAGAGTGCTGGGACCAAAGTAACAAAGCCTACCATCAGTAACACACTACGCCGCCAGGGACTCAAATCCTGCAGTGCCAGACGTGTCCCCCTGCTTAAGCCAGTACATGTCCAGGCCCATCTGAACTTTGCTAGAGTGCATTTGGATGATCCAGAAGAGGATTGGGAGAATGTCATATGGTCAGATGAAACCAAAATATAACTTTTTGGTAAAAACTCAACTCGTCGTGTTTGGAGGACAAAGAATGCTGAGTTGCATCCAAAGAACACCATACCTACTGTGAAGCATGGGGGTGGAAACATCATGCTTTGGGGCTGTTTTTCTGCAAAGGGACCAGGACGACTGATCCGTGTAAAGGAAAGAATGAATGGGACCATGTATCGTGAGATTTTGAGTGAAAACCTCCTTCCATCAGCAAGGGCATTGAAGATGAAACGTGGCTGGGTCTTTCAGCATGACAATGATCCCAAACACACCGCCCAGGCAACGAAGGAGTGGCTTCGTAAGAAGCATTTCAAGGTCCTGGAGTGGCCTAGCCAGTCTCCAGATCTCAACCCCATAGAAAATCTTTGGAGGGAGTTGAAAGTCTGTGTTGCCCAGCGACAGCCCCAAAACATCACTGCTCTAGAGGAGATCTGCATGGAGGAATGGGGCAAAATACCAGCAACAGTGTGTGAAAACCTTGTGAAGACTTACAGAAAACGTTTGAACTGTGTCATTGCCAACAAAGGGTATATAACAAAGTATTGAGAAACTTTTGTTGTTGACCAAATACTTATTTTCCACCATAATTTGCAAATAAATTCATTAAAAATCCTACAATGTGATTTTCTGGATTTTTTTTTCTCATTTTGTCTGTCATAGTTGACGTGTACCTATGATGAAAATTACAGGCCTCTCTCACCTTTTTAAGTGGGAGAACTTGCACAATTGGTGGCTGACTAAATAATTTTTTTCCCCACTGTATGTGATTATGAATCTCACTGACTTGACAGAGAAAGCTGATACGCACAATCCCACACACCCTACCATACACGCAAACAAACACACACACACTAATGTGTTACAAAGCATTGCTTTTTTAGGCCATTTAATCCCTGCTAACATTTTCCAAAATCATGCCTAGTAAGTATTCATGAAGTTTGCGAGGTAAGTGAGGCTTGAGTCAACAGCGCTCCAGTGTCCCTGGTGGATTGGTTATGCATTGTTTGGCTTATCAGAGGTCAGATCTTGATTAGGCTCCCAGACTTGGTTCAGTGCTGCTGTTGGAATTAGAGCTGACTCGAACGGACCTCGTCTAGTTTGTTCTCCAGTGATTGTACATTCTCCAATAGAACAGAGGGTAGAGGCGGTTTCTTCACTCGCTAGTTTCATCAGGGTGCCCCCACGTTGGCCTCTATATCGTCGTCTTTTCCTCTTCCAAGTGTCGAGTAGAATTCTTCATCCAAATCGAGGTTAGTGATCGCTGTTCTAAGTCCAGAAGCTCTTTTCAGTCATAGGAAACGATAGCGGAAACATTATGTACAAAAAAAGTTAAGATCAGTGCAGGAAAACACACAAAATAGCATAATTGGTCAGGAGCCCGTAAAACGGCCGCTATACTGTACATGCCAGTGCCATTCTGTATAGGCCCTGGTCAAAAGTAGTACACTAAATAGGGAATAGGGTGCCATTTGGGACCCACACCTAGCCTGCAGCTCATCCTTCTCCAAAATGGCTAATGTAAGGGATACTAACTGTACTCCTGAGCACGTTTCCAGACGAGAAATATTTGAGGAAAAATTCCACTTATGAAATGTAATTCCCTTAATTCCCAGACAACTGCTGAAAATCTCCTCTTTCTTCGCGTTGCTCGTTTGAAATATGGACTCCTTTTTTCAAACCAGGAGTCAACACAGAGCCAAATGAGTTATGAGATGTAAATTCATATTTTGCTGCAGCATCAGGGCAAGGAACTGTGTTCTTTAAAATGGGCTCAACTAAAACAATAACTGACTCATGTTCTACAGAGTAGATTGACACCATGACCTAGTAACCTCATACTGTTACTAAACTAGTGTGCCATAAAGCATTTATATAGGCTACAACTCCCACAGCCCAGACAAGTGACTGAAGAGGTGGTGCACCAACATATGATTCAAGATACAGCATTTCATTTACAATGTGTCGTCATGTTCAGTTTGCTATTTACAGTACAGTTAGTCATGTACTGTAGGGGGCCGAGCCCTGGCCATCTTACTGTTACCTGTTGGATGGCCTGTGTGTGTGTGTGTGTGCCAGAGGATTTGAGCGGAGTGGAGCTAATTTGTAACCGTGCTAAAGTTGTTTATTAACTGTAGAATGTGAGCGCAACAGAGCCAGTTACAACTGAAGTATCTGATCATCAATAGATAAGAGAAAAAGCAATTCATTTTTTAACACGGTAGCCAAAGCCTATCATCTAGGTAAGCCCATGTTTAATAGCTTACAACATGTTGTTGAAACGTTGAAGCCTCTTACTATAGCCTACTTACAAAACCAAATTGTACATAGTCACAAAAGTAGATAGGGTGTTTGTTAAATTATCTTTATTTTTATTTTTATGAATGGAGCAAAAAATATATCTGTGAACGCTGAGCGATTTTTTGCGGAGCGGTGGAAAGGATGTTGAGCGCCGGGAGCGGTGGGCAAAGACCGCTCCGTGAGCGATGAGTGGGATTTCCAACCGCTCAACTCCGCTCGCATACTCTGGTGTGTGCACATGTGTATATGCGCACGTTGTTAGTTACCTGTTGGACGTCCTGTTGGAACACACAGAGCTGTAGCCTCTGGTGGAGGCGGACCTTCCGGTGCTGCCAGATGCTCTCCAGACGCCTCTGGTGGTGCAGGACCTCGTGGACCACATCCAGGATACAGTGGACTGCCTTGGAGTAGTTGGCTGTGGCCGTCAAAGACTCTGAGTTCCCCGGGCTCAGTGGTCTCTGGAGGACATCCAGCAGGGCCTTGCCATCCTGACTGACCTGGTGACAGAGAGGGACGCGATATTAGGAGGGTTAGCCTAACTCTAACCTAGCAGTTAGAGCGTTGGGCTTGTAACCCAAAGGTTGCTAGCTCAAATCCCTGAGCTGACAAGGTGAAAAACATCTGCCGATCTGCCCTTGAGCAAAGCACTTAACCCTAATTGCTCTGGTCGCCGTCAATAATGTCTGATCCCTGGCAGTGACCCCACTCTCTGAGGGTGTCTCAGGGGGAGTTGGGATAAAAAATACATTTAAATTTCACACCTCACACATGCTTGAAACAGGACAAATATAAGCACACCCTACTTGACCTTTGATATCTGTAGGGTTGCAACTTTCCCAAAATTCCCAGGTTCTCCATAAATCACATTTGGAGGAGTCCCGGATTTCCTCCTTATTCCCTCCCGATTTCAGGAATCATCCTACCTAGATTTTTTTGAAAACCTGGGAACTTTGAGAATGTCCCGGAATTTTGCAACTCTATATTGGCATTAGATACAGTATCACAATTAATCTTGAAGTCTGTCATGTCAGTCAAATCTTAGTTTCATTATGTGGAAAGAAAAGTCTGAGGAAAAGAAGGATTTTGAAAGTCAGTTCCTTGCTAATCATCTCTGTTCTGTTCTAGCTGCACATGTACCTTACTAAATCAAGCTGGTCAAAGCTGTAATTTCATTTCCAGTGCAAATTGCTAAATTACATGCACTTCTTGGTGCATTAGGATGGGTATTTTTCTTCTTTATCTGTTGCACAATATGTAAGAGAACAGCAAACACTTAATTTTTTCAGTTTAAACCAGAGACGTTTATAGCAACCTTTTCAGAGATGACACTAAAATAAAACAAGCAAGGAGGACAGAAGTCAGTGGAAAGCAGAGGCATCTTGTGAAATGCTACAGAACCACAAACCTATTATCATACAGGATCTTCTGTGGGAAGTAAATCTGACATGGAAGGACAGTGGTCCTCATAATGTATAACATACCATGTGTCACTCATGGTGCAATTCAGATGGATTCAATGTGGCGGGTAAAGGTCATATTTGATATAAAACTGTAGTACAGGTAAAAATGGTAATGAAAGAGTTTTGTGTCTGGAAAGATCTGATTTAAGGATTTTTTTTAATTTAAGGGCAATATTTCAAAGGTATGTACAGTGTATATCCATGTTTAGATTGCTTATGATAATGTTTAGATAACTTATGACAGTCTTTGAACAACCATCGTATTCTTGAAAATATACAGTGGGGAAAAAAAGTATTTAGTCAGCCACCAATTGTGCAAGTTCTCCCACTTAAAAAGATGAGAGAGGCCTGTAATTTTCATCATAAGTACACGTCAACTATGACAGACAAATTGAGAAAAGAAAATCCAGAAAATCACATTGTAGGATTTTTAATGAATTTATTTGCAAATTATGGTGGAAAATAAGTATTTGGTCACCTACAAACAAGCAAGATTTCTGGCTCTCACAGACCTGTAACTTCTTCTTTAAGAGGCTCCTCTGTCCTCCACTCGTTACCTGTATTAATGGCACCTGTTTGAACTTGTTATCAGTATAAAAGACACCTGTCCACAACCTCAAACAGTCACACTCCAAACTCCACTATGGCCAAGACCAAAGAGCTGTCAAAGGACACCAGAAACAAAATTGTAGACCTGCACCAGGCTGGGAAGACTGAATCTGCAATAGGTAAGCAGCTTGGTTTGAATAAATCAACTGTGTGAGCAATTATTAGGAAATGGAAGACATACAAGACCACTGACAATCTCCCTCGATCTGGGGCTCCACGCAAGATCTCACCCCGTGGGGTCAAAATGATCACAAGAACGGTGAGCAAAAATCCCAGAACCACACGGGGGGACCTAGTGAATGACCTGCAGAGAGCTGGGACCAAAGTAACAAAGCCTACCATCAGTAACACACTATGCCGCCAGGGACTCAAATCCTGCAGTGCCAGACGTGTCCCCCTGCTTAAGCCAGGACCGTCTGAAGTTTGCTAGAGTGCATTTGGATGATCCAGAAGAGGATTGGGAGAATGTCATATGGTCAGATGAAACCAAAATATAACTTTTTGGTAAAAACTCAACTCGTCGTGTTTGGAGGACAACGAATGCTGAGTTGCATCCAAAGAACACCATACCTACTGTGAAGCATGGGGGTGGAAACATCATGCTTTGGGGCTGTTTTTCTGCAAAGGGACCAGGACGACTGATCCGTGTAAAGGAAAGAATGAATGGGGCCATGTATCGTGAGATTTTGAGTGAAAACCTCCTTCCATCAGCAAGGGCATTGAAGATGAAACGTGGCTGGGTCTTTCAGCATGACAATGATCCCAAACACACCGCCCGGGCAACGAAGGAGTGGCTTTGTAAGAAGCATTTCAAGGTCCTGGAGTGGCCTAGCCAGTCTCCAGATCTCAACCCCATAGAAAATCTTTGGAGGGAGTTGAAAGTCCGTGTTGCCCAGCGACAGCCCCAAAACGTCACTGCTCTAGAGGAGATCTGCACGGAGGAATGGGCCAAAATACCAGCAACAGTGTGTGAAAACCTTGTGAAGACTTACAGAAAATGTTTGACCTGTGTCATTGCCAACAAAGGGTATATAACAAAGTATTGAGAAACTTTTGTTATTGACCAAATATGTATTTTCCACCATAATTTGCAAATAAATTAATTTAAAATCCTACAATGTGATTTTCTGGATATTTTTTTCTCATTTTGTCTGTCATAGTTGACGTGTACCTATGATGAAAATTACAGGCCTCTCTCATCTTTTTAAGTGGGAGAACTTGCACAATTGGTGGCTGACTAAATACTTTTTTTCCCCACTGTATATGGCATATAAAAGGGGGATTACAATTGTGGTCATTCCCCTTAAAAGCTATGTGGTGGGATCTTAAACTAGCACAGAATGCCACTATAAACCTGAGTTTAGTTAGTGCTCTAACTGGGTGAGTGTCAGGGTTGGGGACAATACCATATCAATTCCAGTAAATTCAGAAAGTAAACCAAATTCCAATTCCAAATTTTCCAATTCCTAATTGAAAAGCATTGAAAATAATTGGAATTTTAGTGTCCTTCCTGAATTGACTGGAATTTAAATGGAATTCACCCCAACCCTGGTTTTTGTTGTGAGGGTGTCTCACCTCGGTATAGGCCTGGGTCACCTGTTCGTAGAGGGTCTGGTGGTGGTGGATGGCCAGCTCCAGGTCCTGCATATCCGAGGGCAGCCCCCCCTCACTGCACATCTTACACCAGGCCTCCACCCCAGCCAGGAACTGTATGAACACAGGCCAGGAGACACATTCACACAACATAACAGATACAGATAGAGCAATCAACAGAGCCCTGGGAGTAATTCCATAGACAGAGGCCGGCAGGGAGGGAGGAAGGGAGGCAGACCCTCTTTACGAGAGGCTGAGGTAACCCCGGACCCCGCCTGCCTGCCTGGCTCTCTGTAAAGCAGCATAGTCTACAGCCGACAGGCACACCTGTAGCCCCAAACACTCTGCATCATAGCAGCTGCTGCCAAGGAAACGCAGGTCTATCTTAACTACCTCTACACAGCAACAGGCAACAGCCAGAGAAATACAGGACAACACTGACATTCCAATCTCTCTCAGACGGCCTGTGGGCTTGAAGGATGTTCATAGCGTTCATGCAATGCTTGAATTGTCATGCAAATCTCCCTTTGACATCAGTACATGCTTTACACAAAGGTCTGAGTTATGTGCTCAGACTTAAAGTTAGGTAGGATTCAGGGCTATGTGACTGAGTGACAACAGTATGAGGGTTGCAGCCCGTAGGCCTACTGTCTATTGCCAACCTGTTCCGACTTCTGGTGGAAGACGGCCGACATGGCCAGGATGGTGCTGCGTTCATCCAGGGCGGCGGCAAAGCTCTTCCACTCCTGGTCCAGCTGGGCCGAGATCTGTTTGATCTGCTGCGAGGCGTAGTGGCCCGCCTCCGACAGGCGTGACGCCACCGACATGATCCGGTTGATGTTCACATAGGCATTCTGCACCGAGGGAGTGACACACATAGAGAAGACATAATATATTATGGGAAAAGATTCAGGGTCTATATTAGGGGTATTCAACTCTTACCCTACGAGGTCCGGAGCTGGTTTTCTATTCTACCTGATAATTAATTGCACCCACCTGGTGTCCCAGGTCTAATCAGTCCCTGAAAAAAAGAAGTGGAACTGGCTTCGAGGTCCAGAGTGGAGTTTGAGGGGTCTATATAATTTAATTCAGGACATATTTCATTAAATTCAGGACATTTTTAATTTATTTCAGGATCTATTTGCTCCTTATTCAAACATAGAGATGACTGAATCCAAGTGGACAAGCAAACTAAGAAATCTAGGTCTCTGTGGCGTGTCTAGCTATAGCTAGCAATGTAGTATTGCTTATTAGCCAAACATTCAATGCTACAAAAGATACTGTATGACCCGAGAGCCAGTCCGGCATGAAATGATGGTGTAGAGCTTAGCGACAACAAGCGTGACAGAATTCTGAAGCTTTGACTGAATCGCTCTCTCTCTCTGGCAGGCCACCCCTGATGTCTTTGACACTCCCACACAAACACACAAACACACACACACACACACACACACACACACAGACAGATATTCCTATGTGCTGCCATATGGCTCTGTAGTCCCCAAAACCCACCCATCCATCCCTCCACTACGGGAGTTTTATCATCTCTGGCCGCTTTAGGCACAACCATTTATCAGCTTCACATGATGCAGCCACCGTGGGCTTTATTTACCGCTAACCTGATTAGAACTACTAATGAAGCCATCAAAACGAACAGCTCGTTGGTTTAAAGCAGGGCTTAATGAACTACGTTCAGACAAGGTAGCTGCATGCTGAACATGCTGAGCCAAGACTCACGTCAAAACATAATAACAGCATGATTTAGGAGTCTGTATGAGCACAGAGAGGGGGAGAGAGAGAGAGAGTGGGGGGGAGCAAGAGAGAGCAAGAGAGAGAGAGCGAGAGAGAGAGAGAGAGAGAGAGAGAGAGAGAGAGAGAGAGAGAGAGAGAGAGAGAGAGAGAGAGAGGAGAGAGAGAGAGAGAGAGAGAGAGAAAGAGAGTGGGGGGAGCAAGAGAGAGAGTGTGGGGGGGGAGAGAGAGAGTGAGAGAGAGTGAGAGAGTGAGAGAGCGAGAGAGAGTGGTTCTTCAATGAGAGCCAAGCTGCCTCTGTAAGTGTGGAGGTTTTTTATTGTAAAGAAAATACAATAAAAAGATCACACATTGAGAATCAAGGCAGAAAATGGCAATAGTAGGCTAGGATGGGACTAAAAACAAACAAAAGATAAGTATTGTAAAAATATACTGTGTCCGTAAAATGTATTTCGTATGTATAAGCTGGAAGTAGAAGCGTTGTTGTCCATTAGTTTACTCCATGTAGGGGAAGTGTGGTAGGATTAGGGGAAAATAATAAAGGAAAATATATTAAAATATATATATTTTATATATATTTACTAAAAACGATATATTGGAAATGATGCAGACAATTACACTGATGGAAGCCATAATCTATGTATAATATTAAAGCTGATCTACCCCCCTAAATTAAAAATAAATAAATAATTGTAGGCTAGGTGCTAAAAGGACATTCCATGCCATTAAAATGTGCATGTGCGTGTGGTGTGTCTCTTGGCTAGTGTTTGGTACATACAGTGCCGTGAAAACTGATTTGCCCCCTTTCTGATTTTCTCTATTTTTGCATATTTTTTTATACTGAATATGATCAGAATTTCAACCAGAACCTAATATTAGATAAAGGAAACCTGAGTTTACAAATAACACAAAAATATATACTTATTTGATTTATTGAATTAACAAAGTTATGCAACACCCAATTCCCCTGTGTGAAAAAATAACGAAATAACTGGTTGTGCCACCTTCAGCTGCAATGACTCCAACCAAACGCTTCCTGTTATTAGTTCACTCAGGTTCCCCTTATCTCATATTAGGTTTTGGTTGAAGATCTGATAACATTCAGTATAAAAAATATTGAAAAGTAGAGAAAATTAGAAGGGGGGCAAATACTTTTTCACAGCACTGTGGCTCGATTTATCCAAATAGTATCAAACATGTCTTCATTCTGTCAGAGGAAAACTGCAGTGGAGGTAATTCCCTATTCTAAGGTGTATCTCAAAAGGCACCCTATTCCCTATTTAGTGCACTACTTAAGACCAAGGCCATATAGAAAACAGGGTGCCATTTGGGAAACATCCTAACAGTAATTTTAGAACCAGAGGAAATCAAATCAACATTGAAGAAGTAGCCTGCTATTTCAGTTGAGCAATAATAACCTGAGTGTGTGTGTTCATATGCAAAACTGACTTCTGCTCTCCATAGCCAGTGGCCTCCACAACATCAATGGTAGCTGTACGAGCATGTTTCTTTTACAACCCTATTTGAAATACTAATACAGTAATTGAAAGGCCTTTTGACCCGCTCCTCGAACTTCAGCCAGTCTGTCTTTCAATAATTCCGCTCTTACTCATACAAAGTGAAATTACTGAGCCATGACTCAAGGAGTATTGATGTCATCTATATTATTACATCCCCCAACCCCATACACCACAGAAAGTCCTCACAAACCACAAACAGTCCTTACACAACACATAGTCCTCAAACACCACATAGTCCTCTCACACCATATAGTCCCCACACACCATATAGTCCCCACACACCACATAGTCCCCACACACCACATAGTCCTCACACACCACATAGTCCTCTCACACCATATAGTCCCCACACACCATATAGTCCTCACACACCACATAGTCCTCACACACTTTAGTCCTCACACACTTTAGTCCTCACACCCACCCCATATAGTCCCCACACCCCACATAGTCCCCACAACCCATATAGTCCCCACACCCCATATAGTCCTCACACACCACATAGTCCTCACAAACCACATAGTCCCCACATACCATAGAATTCATGGCAAAGTGATTGTGCTGCGTCTGGAGGTCCACGGCGTGCTGGTAGCTGACTCCGATCTCTGTGTGGCTCTGCAGGAACACTTCCTTATTGTGACTGATCCAGTCAAACATCTATGGTGGGAACAAACACAGATACATACGGTTAGGTAAGGTTGCTGGTTGGGTTACTGGTCATGTGTGGCTCAGTTGGTAGAGCATGGCGCTTTTGGGTTCGATTCACGCTGGGCCCACCCATACAAAAATGAATGCACGGCTTGCGCGCATATAAATAGCATATATATGGCATATTATATTACACATAATCAACCAATAATCATAATGATTATTAGACATTCTCATTGATAGTTTAGCCGTTGTAACTCATCACAGCACAGCGGATAGACAATATTTAATTTTTTGGTGTATTGGACAGGATAGAGAGAGAGGAAAGATACAGCAAATAGCAGATGGCTGTATTTGAACCCATGCTTCAGCTGTATATGTGATCCAGAGGCAGCGGCTTAGACCATTAGACCACCCTAGGCCACGGCAGATAAACATTCTGTGCATTACATGATACTGTAGTCCTCTCTCTGGCGTTAATTATACACTATTGATTGGATTTAATGAAATTCAAGTCATTGGGCGGCTTGCCATCGCTCTTTAAAATCCTGTACAGTATGCTCAACTATATGAACAAATATTAAATAACGGTGGCGTGACAAGCGTGATTATAGGGTCACATTAGGACAGCCCTCTAGGCCAGCAGCTTTAAACCCCTGCTCTGAAGAGCCTGCGACATTAGAATAAATCTATTTCATCAGGTTTGATCGAGCTGTTAATTAAATATTGGCGCTAGTGTGAACTCTCAGCGCTGCCTTCCAATGGAAGTCCTTATAAAAGGAATGAGTTGTCTAATGTGTTTATACTGATGTAACAGATTACAGTGCAGGTGTTTCTATAGAGAATTTGCTCTGATTTAGATGTTTTTTTGATGAATAATGCTATGATAATTATTATCCTATTAAACCACGATCAATTGCAGTAAAAAGTTACAATGGTGACTGTAAAATGACTTTGCTTTCAATAAGCAATAACTTTAGCAAATAGAATGGGAAAAGCAGAAAAATGACTAGGAAAAAGTGGTCCTTCATATCTTTTGGTTTGGATGCATATTCCTTACCCTCAAAGTAGGGTTTGATGTAATCAACTTTATTGTCAAAAGACCATATGATTGAAACGATACTTATAAATTCCCTAACTTGTCATGCTTATTAAATCACATCTTGACAGCTTAATCTAATAACTTACAAATCAAACGGAGAGAAGCTGGCTAAAGAATTAATTAGCTCAATGACGGTTTGCTTTTCTAGGGGGGACAAATTCTGGCTCAGTGTAGTTGCTGATAAATGACTCCGTATCATGTTCACTTGAAGATGATGAACAGTTTGCACTACAAGTTTGCATTTCCTGCAGTGCAGGAAAATTCTCAGCAACAAAAAGAGTGTTCAAAAGATTGATCTGTACATCATTATCCTAAATGAACAACAACTTCTTCCTGATCATAAACCTAAAATGTACTCAGTAAAAATGCCATATTCCTTGAAAGAAACATATTGATTTCATCACAGATGATTGATTTTAACCTATAACTCTCCTGACTAAAATCCATGTGAGATTTCTTCCCTCATATGGCTTTGATCATTACCGGTGCATGATGGGGGAGGAAGACGGTGGCGTGGAGGCCAGGCGAGAGGAGCAGTAATTGTTCATTTTGACTGGGTCCCAAATGGCAACCTAAACCTAATAGGTTTTATCAACAGTAGCGGTGTGTGGATAAAATCCCAGGGGAAGTCAAGCCAGGGGGAAAAAAGCCATATTACAACCTATGTGATGTGATAATTCCGTTGTTTGCTCTATAACCTGTTAATTCAATAATATGCCTTGACACCTAAGGCTGAGAAAATAAGAAGACACAGTGGCAGAATAAATTCAACCACACCTTTGTTTCATCACAAAACCGGAGCGCAACATCTGTCTGGTGAAGTCCACAAAACATATTGCATGTAACAAACAGTTAAATTACCTACAGCATGGTCAAGCAAGTTAATGTTTCCATTTTCGGATTACTAAACAACTATTGATTTAGAACCACTGAGAGTTACCGCAAGTCACAAAGAAAACAGGCGCTGCCTCCACTAATCCAGCACCATTTCAACGTCAGCATTTCAACATTATCTAATCACCTATGCTTAGTCTAATACAGTGACAACTAAAAGATAACAACAACTATTTAGTCCAATAAACGTAAGCTAAATATGATGTGGCTGTCCATGGTACTGATTTCTGTGTGTATGCATGCGTGCTTACTTGCAAGTAGAAAAAAAACATGTTGACTCACCCTACTTGTAGAGAAATGCCAATGCCATCCTCCTCTTTCATGTTGCCTAAATGGTCTATGACTCTGTCATACTGTACACGCTTTTAGTTTTTGTTGTGGTAGGCTACCTGGCTAACTTCCTTTAATGGGCAATGATGCGCCAGGCCAGCTAGTTAACATTAGCCTACTACATCTAGCTACATGTTGAACTTCCATCCTTTCAGGCCACCATCACAATACGGTGCAGAGCATTCAATTTGGCAGCTGGGGGACAAGGAGACCCCCAGCTCCGCTAAAACAATTGACAACTACGTGCCATTTTCAACGAATTGTTAAACAGTGGGGAACCGTCAGAGAAGGCCTAAGGATTTATAAAATGTGTACATTTTTTAATTACAATTCATTTTAATTTTCTATTTCATCTTCACAATAATTATAATCATTGTCTGATTTCATCTCTTCAGTTTGTGTTGGAAAGAGAAGGATTAATATTGAATAGAAAAAATTACCCAATCAGGTATGATCTCATGGGGCCTACTGGAGTAAATGGGCTGCTTATTCTTTAACATGATTTGATGCTGTGTGTGACTGCTGTCGCCTGTCTATCAGCCGTGTCTATGTGTTTGACCAAAACTGGCTCTCCTTCAGCGCCATGGAGTGCACAGGTATTACGGTCGCTGTCCTTTCAGCACCATGAGCCTGTCACCTTTGATGTGACACTGTTGTTGTCGCTATTAGTGATAGTGTGATAGTGGTGTTGGCTACCATAAGTTGTGTAAACAGTGCATCATTTGATGCTGTGTGTCATGTTGTATCCATGCCAGTTCTGTCTCTGTGTGTGCAGCAGCCCGAAGCGCGGCCAGGCCTGTTTGATTCCTTCATAATGTCATCAAAAAGTATTGCTCCTCCTTCACTAGAATTAGAATGGTCTGACTACTGACTACAGAAGATATAATGTTGGGCGCATTAAGTGTTGTGTTCTGTTATTTTCTTATTTGATACAATATATTGGAAGATTTTTGGTCCCTCAGAAGGCCTAGGTCCTATAGTCACGGTTCACCACTGTTGTTGAATAAATGTTATAACTATTCAATTTTAATATCATCACCTCATGAAGAATATAGTCAGAACTACACATTTCCAATTATTCCACATTTAGCTATATCATCAAATCAAATCAAATTTTATTGATCACATACAAATTATTAGCAGATGTTTTTGCGGGTGTAGCGAAATGCTTGTGTTCCTAGCTCCAACAGTGCAGTAGTATCTAACAATTCACAACAATACACACAAATCTAAAAGTAAAAGAATGGAATTAAGAAATATATAAATATTAGATCGAGCAATGTCGGAGTAAACCTTAATTGATCATGTATTTTCAGATACGTAGGGTAGACTATCCATTTGGCAGGTAGCTAGCTAAGCAAACAACATGTGTCGTTTAGCTTGCTTCATCAGAGATTAGGCTTTTGGTCCTGGTAAAGTAGTCAGTAGGACTGCTGTCATCACCCCTATAGATGGCAAGCAAATATACCATCTGGTTTATCCCCTGAAAGTTAGCTTGTTAACTAGCCATATTGACGTAATCTGTTATTAGCTAGCTAGCCAATGTCTAGTGGTCCATCAATCAATGTAGCCTATCATGTCTGTCAGCAGCAATCATGATTAAACACTCTTAAAAACAATGTTGAAAAAGAGAGAATGTTAGCTAACTTCACTAGGTAGGCCTATGTTGGTTGTTAAAAAGTACATTAGGTCTACTTATCATTATGTTTAGCACACTGTATAAAGTTTATACCGGTAGCTTGACAGGCAAAGCCCACAAAGGATGGGTAATTGACCTAAACCACTCATATTTGTCAGGTAGAGTTCACTTTTATTTTATATCACTCAAATATCCAATTAATGGTGGCCAATATTGAGCGATATCGTAAGGCTACCCTCACATATCTGAAATTACATGATCAATTGATGTTTACTGATAATGAAAAGCATGCAGTTAATTGCTGTATAATTCTTATGATAGAGCTAAATGTGCACAATTGTTTTGCATGGAATAATGGGAGAAAAAAATAATATTCTGACTATGCTTTTCAAGAGGTGATGATATTACAACCAAAGTTAACATTTATTTAACAATCCCTTGAAAACTGCAAACTGTTGTCAATGGATTTAACATACAGTACCAGTCAAAAATTTGGACACAACTACTAATTCCAGGGTTTTTCTTTATTTTTACTATTTTCTACATTGTACAAACTATGAAATAACACATATGTAATCATGTAGTAACCAACAAAGTGCTAAACAAATCAAAATATATTTTATATTTGAGATTCTTCAAAGTAGCCACCCTTTGCCTTGATGACAGCTTTGCACACTCTTGGCATTCTCTCATCCAGCTTCATGAGGTAGTCACCTGGAATGCATTTCAATTAACAGCTGTGCCTTGTTAAAAGTTAAATTGTAGAATGTCTTTCCTTCTTAAAGTGTTTGAGCCAATCAGTTGTGTTGTTACAAGGTAGGGGTGGTATACAGAAGTAGCCCTATTTGGACCAAGTCCATATTATGGCAAGAACAGATCAAATAAGCAAAGAGAAACGGCAGTCCATCATTACTTTAAGCCATGAAGGTCAGTCAGTCCGTAAAATGTCAAGGACTTTGAATGTCTCTTCAAGTGCAGTCGCAAAAACCATCAAGCGCTATGATGAAACTGGCTCTCATGAGGACCGCCACAGGAATGGAAGACCCAGAGTTACCTCTGCTGCAGAGGATAAGTTCATTAGAGTTAATTGCATCTCAGAAATTGCAGCCCAAATAAATGCTTCACAGAGTTCAAGTAACAGACACATATCAACATCAACTGTTCAGAGGAGACTGTGTGAATCAGGCCTTCATGGTCGAATTGCTGCAAAGAAACCACAACTAAAGGACACCAATAATAAGAAGAGACTTGCTTGGGCCAAGAAACACAAGCAATGGACATTAGACCGGTGGAAATCTGTCCTTTGGTTGGATGAGTCCAAATTGGAGATTTTGGGTTCCAACCGCCGTGTCTTTGTGAGACGCAGAGTAGGTGAATGGATGATCTCCGCATGTGTGGTTCCCACCATGAAGCATGGAGGAGGAGGTGTGATGGTGTGGGGGTGCTTTGCTGGTGACACTGTCAGTGATTTATTTAGACTTCAAGGCACACTTAACCAGCATGGCTTCCACAGCATTCTGCACCGAAAGGCCATCCCATCTTGTTTGGGCTTAGTAGGACTATCATTTGTTTTCAACAGGACAATGACCCAACACACCTCTAGGCTGTGTAAGGGCTATTTGACCAAGAAGGAGAGTGATGGAGTGCTGCATCAGATGACCTGGCCTCCACAATCACCCAACCTCAACCCAATTGAGATGGTTTGGGATGAGTTGGACTGCAAAATGAAGGAATAGTAGCCAACAAGTGCTCAGCATATGTAGGATCTCCTTCAAGACTGTTGGAAAAGCATTCCAGGTGAAGCTGGTTGAGAGAATGCCAAGAGTGTGCAAAGTTGTCATCAAGGCAAAGGGTGGCTACTTTGAAGAATCTAAAATCTAAAATATATTTTGATTTGTTAAACCCTTTTTTGGTTACTACATGATTCCATATGTGTTATTTCATAGTTTTGATGTCTTCACTATTATTCTACAATGTAAAACATTGTAACAATAAAGAAAAAGCCTTGAATGAGTAGGTGTGTCCAAACCTTTGACTGGTACTGTATATTTAACACTCCCTTGAAAACAGCACTCAGTTGTCAATGGTTTTAGCAGAGTTTGGGTCTCCTTGCCCCCAAGCAGGCAAATCAAACGCTCTGCACCTTATTGTGATGTTTTATTGATGACAACCTATAGGTCCTGGTCAAAAGAAGTGCACTATGTAGGGAATATGTAGATAATAGGACAAATAAATGTGCGTCTATCCTCCCCTCTGTCTGTTATTGTTTCCTTTGATCCTGATCCACACAGACAGGAAGTGCCTTTACTGGGGTTGCACACCGAGAATTTCATTTCAACAGCGTTGTTCAAAAATACCCTTATTAATGCTTGAGCTTCAAGGGTGCCCTGTTACAATGTGCTCAGTCTTTACAATTACTGTTCAAATGGCTGGAGTACAGGTGTGCAACCACAAACGCTACTATGACTGTCCAAGTGCTCGTCGGTGTCACGATCGTCGGAGGAAGTGGACCAATGCGCAGCGTGGAATGTGAACATACTTTCTTTTTTAAATGATCCACACGAACAAAACAACAAACGATACGAAACGTGAAGTCCTTGGTTACAAAACAAACCATACGGAACAAGATCCCACACATGACAATGCCCAAACGGCTGCCTAAGTATGGTTCCCAATCAGAGACAACAAGCAACAGCTGATTCACGTTGCCTCTGATTGAGAACCACCCCGGCCAAAATAGAATCACAAGCACTAGAATATCACCCTAGCATACAAAACACAAAGAAACAACACACCCTGGCTCAACATAACAGAGTCCCAGAGCCAGGGCGTGACAGTCGGATTAGAATTAAAATAGTTTTATGGAATCTGAGTTTACAATATGACCAGTAGGTGAACTGCTGTAGCTATCCTGCTCGACTATGTGTTGTGTAACACATTGTTAGTACAGCGTTAGTAACCAATCCCAGACCAATTGGAGAGGACACATGGAGGGACAGACACAGTACGTGTGCCAGGCCTTGATTGGCATTGTCCCCAGGGAAATTAATAATTATCTGTGCCTGGCCTAATCAGAGGCACCATGGGGCTCCACTGTCATTAGAAAAGGGACTGACTGCACTTATCCAAATGAAGGCCTTTGTCTAGAGTCCACCAGGCAATGGCCTACTAATTCATCATTGTAGGGTATATTGGGGGGAGTGTGGGCTTGAAGGATTGGAGAGAATATTGTATGGTTAGGAGAATGCAGTTTTTCTTCCATCCTCTCTGTATACACTAGCTGTGTGGCCATTTTACTTTAGTTTATTTGTTTTAGTTCATTTGTTGCATTGAGAAATGGCAAATGACTTGGCAATGTAAAATATTGTTTTGAGTATGTGATCATCATTGTCATCTAAATACATTCACCTTTTTCTTACAGGCTCACCTGTGTCTCTGACCTTCCCAGAGCTGTATAGGTCCTAACATGAGGTCATTTTGTTGTTGTTGTTGTTGTTGTGTTATTCCTAATGAGTTTTGGGGTATTTAGGGTATGTGAGGTTTTCCTTTAAAAGCTTGGAAGCTTTTCAGAGACCTAACAAATACTTTATGAAATTATTACATGTACCTTTGGGTTCATCTGGACAACATTACTGCCATTGTCAAGGGAGATATGTGTGTAGATGAGAATAAATCGTTTTTAATACACACAGAAATACCTCACAAATTGGAAAAGTGGGCAAAATACATGTTTATTCCCTAAAAATAGCATCTCAGGGAATTATGTACTGAACCATTCTGTTTTTTTTTTTCAAAATCTTGTAAAAGCAGATATCCTTCTAAAAGCATAGGCTATTATTATATCCCATTTAATATGCATTTCAAAGAAATAAACAAAATGGCAGCGTTTATGTATTTAGGCCCTCAATATAAACAGAGAAAGGCTCTGTCCCAAATCCCACTCTATTCCATACATAGTGCACTACTTTTGACCAGGGCCCATAGGGCTCTGGTCAAATGTATTGCATTATATACAATAGGGGATTGAGGGCCATTTGGGATGTACCCTAGACCTCACATCACATCTAGTCCAAAGTTTGTTATTTGTTGTCATACTGAGGACTTTCACGATGTGTCCCTAGGATAAATATTAGCAATTAAGGTTCAGGGATATTTATATGCGAAAAACCTCTCAATCAGTTTGCAACCTTTTAATATAAATTCCATGTCAACGTTTGTCTGCCTTACTGTATACAAATCACACGTTTGACAATTAGACTGGTCTTACTAGCTAAACGGCTTGCATATCAAATCACCAGTGTCTTTAATGTACTGTGGGTTCATTTTTGTTATTCTGTTAGCAGAGATCATTGGTATCATCTATATTGTGTTGTCTGATGTTTTGTTTGTAATATTACTTAGATTTACTCATTTTTAACCACGAGTTAAAGACAAAAGTCCATTCCATAAAATATTTCAATGGACATAAAGATTTTCAATTCAGAGATCAACTCAGCTCAAATTGTTTTATTGTGACTGTGTTTCTAGACCTCTGAGTTTGGTCACTCACCTTCTCCGCGTCCTGCTCAAAGAGGCGGAGCTGGAAACACTGGTCCAGCTTGAGCTTGCGGACGTGCCACATCTGGTGCAGGTGCTGTCTGGTGGAGTGCAGCTTGTCCAGCAGGCTGGCGATCTTAGGCACCACGCTCTGGAAGTCAGCGCTACCCGAGATGCAGTTCCTCCCAGAAAACCCATCACTAGAGCGGATACACTGAAGCAGCCTCTGGCCCTCCCTGTCCAGCTCCTCCACGGGAGCCTTCATCACCTTCTTCTTGAGCTGCGTGTGCTCGTCGATGAGCCGCCGTGAGCCCTCCACATCCACCGGGAACTCCTTCTTGGCCAGCAGCTCCTGGAGGTCCTCCAGGCGGGAGAGGAGGTGCACGGCCGAGCCCATGAACTCCTCCAGGGCCACGCGCAGATCCATCCACTCCTCGTGGTTGTACTCCAGAGAGCCCTCAAAGTCGTCCGTCAGCTGGGATGGGTCCACCAACTTAGTCAGGCCCTCCACTGACACCATGCTAGTCTGTCAAATCAAATCAAAATCAAATGTGATTTGTCACCTGCTTCGTACACAAGAGGTGTAGACTAACAGTGAAATGCTTACTTACGGGTCCTTCCCAACATTGCTGAGAGAAAAATTGAAAAAGAATAGAAAGATAATAACACAAGGAATAAATACAAAATGAGTGATGATAATTTGGCTATATACAAGGGGTACCAGTACCGAGTCGATGTGCAGGGGTACAAGGTCATTGAGGTAGATATGTACATATAGGTAGGGGTAAAGTGACTAGGCAACAGGATAGATAATAAACAGTAGCAGCAGCGTATGTGGTGAGTCAAAATAGTTACTGCAAAGGGGGGTCAATACAGATAGTCTGGGTAGCTATTTGGTTAACTATTTAGCAGTCTTATGGCTTGGGTGTAGAAGCTGTTCAGGGTCCTGTTGGTTCCACACTTGGTGCATCGGTACCGCTTGCCGGCCGGTAGCAGAGAGAACAGTCTATGACCTGGGTGGCTGGAGTCTTTGACAATTTTTAGGTCCATCCTCTGACACCGCCTGGTATAGAGGCCCCAGTGATGTACAAACTACCCTCTGTAGTGCCTTGCGGTCGGATGCCAAGCAGTTGCCATACCAAGCGGTGATGCAGCCAGTCAAGATGCTCTCAATGGTGCAGCTGTAGAACTTTTTGAGGATCTGAGGGCCCATGCCAAATATTTTCAGCCTACTGAAAATTCTTCACGACTGTGGTGGTGTGTGTGACCCATGTTAATTCCTTAGTGATGTGGACACTGAGTAACTTGAAGCTCTCGACCCGCTCAACAGCACACAATCAAGAGGTTCGCCAAAACGTATACAGGCTTCATTGGATGTGTCCCAAATGGCACCCTATTCCCTATATAGAGCACTACTTTTGACCAGAGGCATATAGGCCCTGGTCAAAAGTAGTGTACTATAAAGGGTCAAGGGTGCCATTTGGAATGCAGCAATTCTGTTTCTCATTAGCACTACATTTCACTGTGAATGGTAGGAATGAGAAAGGGGAGGACCGAGGGGTGTAAGCTTAACCTCACACTACCTAGCACACTACTAATGGCTGACCTCTGTACAGCGTTACATGCAGAGAATATGGGAAAATCGTGGGGGGGGGGGATAATAATTCTGCATTCTTTTCTCACCAGTCCCTTTGAAAACACGGGTCTGTGCTTCCTGTCCACTTTATAGACAGACCAAAATTAACGACTGTTGTCAAGTAGCGCTTATAGTCCTGTGATAACATCACAATACAAAATTGTGCTATTCAACTCTGGATGAAATACATAATCACCATAATCAAAACAGGCATGCTGACTAGAGAAAATGCCTGTACTAGAGAAATATAAAATATTTTAAACAGTGGGCAACCAGACATGCCAACTAAAACAAGGCTCAGTTTTTGCCCAAGCTGAGCTCTCCCTTACCTCAAACGTGAACTTGGCACTGCCAAAGTTGGTCTTCTGCTTCTGCCAGAAGTTGTCCGGTTTGATGATGAGCGCCACGCAGATCTCAGCAGAGAAGGCTTCCTGCAGGGTCTTCAGTAGAGGCTTGATCAGGTCCCACTTGGAACCGCGCATATCAATGATCACTGTGAAGCCCCGCTTGCACACGTCCTCACTGGGAGATAGAGGAGATGAAAGAGTAAAGCGAGAGAGGAGAGAGTAAGAGAGAGAGAGAGAGACAGAGAGAGAGAGAGAGAGAGAGAGAGAGAGAGAAAGAAAGAAAGAGAAAGGGCGAAGAAGAGATAGCGAGTGAGAGAGAAAAGGAGAGAAAGAATGAAAGAGAGAGAGAGAGTGAGAGAGAGAAAGAGTGAGGGTGAGAGAGAACCAACCGTTAGTACGCAGCATGCCCTCCACATCACACCCACTCCAAGGGAGCCTAGGTCGGGCTAGGGCGGCACTCCACACTATCCAACATCACCATCCAACACTCCCTACTTAATGTCCTTCAGCCAATTTAGATCTGAATTGGTCCCTTGACTCCCCTGGACTCCGAGCCAACCACGGTGATGCTAAAGCCATTACACCACCGGAACAGTTTTAACTGCTGTGACTAAATGACAAGCGCTATTCAATTGGACTTCTTTTAAATAGGCCCGCTGGTTCTACCTTCAGAGTGATGATTAGCTCCCATGAGTCTAGCTCTCTGACAAGCCTGTCATCGACGTTAAGCTCTTTCATTTTGGATTATCATACAAATGATAGACTATCACACACGTATCTAATTATCTCCTACTGGGCGTGTCCTCTTCAGATGTAATAGGCTTATTTGTTGGGATTCGCGTTTAAATTTCCCCCCCCCCCCCCCCCCCCCCCCCCTATTCTTAGGTCCCGATGCTTTGAAAGCATTTCACTGTGATTGGAAGATAAAAATAACCTGTAATTGCTTTGGCCCGCCACATGCCCTGCTCCTCAAGCCTCCCATACTTCTGGAATTAATATGATTCTTTCCGCATCGTTTTGTGCTGGAAGACTGGGGGACAAACAAGAGAAAATGTATACATCCCAATTGATCCCTATTCCCTATGTAGTGCACTACTTTCGACCAGGGCCGTTTGGGACACACCCTTTATTACATGAAGCATCTCCTTCCCCAGTGGTCACCAACCTTTTCTGAGCCGAGATCACTTTGAGTCAAAAAGCAAGTTTTTTTTTTTTACATGCCTTAAAAAATGTAAGCCTATGCAACATTAATAACCTATTAAAAGCAGTTATGTAGCAATGAGGTTTGTGCAGTAGGCTACATTATTAATGCATATTGGCTATGCTTGAATTGCCCTGCCAATGTGGTTCTTCTCAGACCATTTAGAAATTATATTTCAAAACCTGAGGTATATGATCACACTGGTCACTGATTGTATTACTTCAGTATAAATTACATATTTTACTGGACTGATGGTGCCTGCATCTGATGGTCAGTCGCTCAGCAAAAGGAGGGAGGGAGGGAGGGAGGGATGGAGGGAGGGAGAGGCTGCCTCTCACCATCCCTCAGCTCTCCTTCCCTCCACTAAGACGAGACACTTCCAGCTGATGGTGAAACTCGAGTCGCACTTCATTATTTCTGCCTAATGCACAAATTCATGTTTTTACTCCTGTGTCCAGAAAATGTGAAATATTCCTCAATATTAAAAAAGACAAGCCGCTAATAATAACAATGCAAGCCTATCGATACACTTTGTTGCCGGAGTGGATAGGGAGGAGCGCGTTTTATGGCTCCTATAGCTCAGTTGGTAGAGCATGGTGCTTGCAACGCCAGGGTTGTGGGTTCGATTCCCACGGGGGGCCAGTATGAAAAATGTATGCACTCACTAACTGTAAGTCGCTCTGGATAACAGCGTCTGCTAAATGACTAAAATGTAAATGTTGAATAAAGTGTTGACAGTGCTGAATAAAAACTCACTCATAATAACAGCAGCTCTTTGCTGTATTAGTTTAAGTCTCTCTCTAGTCATGGTTTTAAAAGTTTTGAAATGTCACAGTATCAACTTCGCTGTGGGCTCGTGGGCGCTGCAGGCACGGTGATATGAGCTATCTGATTGGCCAGCGGTAGACCTATAGGTGCACTTGATTTGCTCTCCAGGCCCACCGGGTAGGCGGAGTTTGTACCTTCAGACACATAAAATGGTTGAAAATGGGAACACTTCGACTCCCCAGCTATCACATTTGGTTCCTTGGAAGTTGTGGGAAAGTACATTTTTGTACTTTCTCACAACTTTTTGTACTCCCCGCCCCAACCCTATCATCCCTATCCTGATTGGAATAAACTAACAGACAACAATACTTCTACTGCTACTTACAGCTATTTTCATATGTACGGTATATGTAGTTAAATAATTATACATGTATTCCTAATTTCCTCTTTCTGCAAGTGCTGTATTTTCACCCACAGTGACCAATCCACCATTCCTCCCTGTATGATGCATTTTGCATCATATGATGCAAAATACATCATACGAGGAGGATTTCTGTATTTTGAAAGTTACATATCTTGAAAATTTGATTGCTTACAAGCAAAACATTTTGGGACTATGTCAACAATGGACTAATGAAACAAAAACCAAAATAGAGTTTTTGGGTGGAATTTTCCTTTAACTCCAATCCACAGATTTACCCATATTTCCCAGTATAATGCAATTTTGCTATTTCGTTTTGCAATACATCCCTCCATTTTACTCTGATGTCTTACGAGGGTCCAGAACCTCCCTATCTGTAACATTTCTACCGATATTGCCCTTTAAATACTTTACCCAATAGTATAATGATATTTCCCATTGACTGATCATGGTTTTTCAGATCCCCAAACAATACAGTTTGCAGGTCCATCTGAACCCTGATATTATGGTATAAAGTACCCCTTGACTTATTCCACATTTTGTCGTGTTACAGCCAGAACTCAAAATGGATTGAATAGATTTTTTTTGTCACCCATCTACACAAAATACCCCATAATGACAAAGTGAAAACATGTTTGTAGACATTTTTGCAAATGTATTGAAAATGAAATACAGAAATATATATTTTACAATACTGTACATGTTAGAATCACCTTTGGCAGCGATTACAACTCTGAGTCTATCTGGGTAAGTCTCTAAGAGCTTTACACACCTGGATTGTACAATATTTGCACATTATTCTTTTTTAAATTCTTCAAGCTCTGTCAAGTTGGTTGTTGATCATTGCTAGACAGCCATTTTCAAGTCCTGCCATAGATTCTGAAACCAATTTAAGTCAAAACTGTAACTAGGCCCCTCAGGAACATTCAATGTCGTCTTGTTAAGCAACTCCAGTGGATATTTGGCTTTGTGTTTTAGGTTATTGTCCTGCTGAAAGGTGAATTTGTCTCCCAGTGTCTGTTGGAAAGCAGACTGAAGCAGGTTTTCCTCTAGGATTTTGCCTGTGCTTAGCTCTATTCCATTTATTTGTATCCTCCCTAGTCCTTGCCGATGACAAGCATACCCATAAAATGATGCAGCCACCACCATGCTTGAAAATATGAAGAGTGGTAAGAATGGCTTTACTGCCTTATTGCAAATAAGATGCATGTTTTGGAATATATGTATTCTGTACAGGCTTCCTTCTTTTCACTCTGTCAATTAGGTTAGTATTGTGGAGTAACTACAATGTTGTTGATCCATCCTCAGTTTTCTCCTATTATTATGGGGTATATATATGTGTAGGCCAGTGACACATTTTAAATTCAGGCTGTAATAAAATGTTTTGGGAGAAAGAGTCAATGGGTGTGAATACTTTCTGAAGGCCCTGTAACAACCATTCCTGGACCTGATTTTTTTTAAAGCCAGCGATTGAGCATTCTTTTAGTAGGAAGTATTTTATATAATAGCTTAAATTGAAACGAACGGATTGATGTGTCAATTGTTGTTTTATATATCAGTTCATATACCCGATACCAAGGTATTGGGACATCAAAGACATGTTCCCAACTGACTTCAATTTTATACGGCATTGCTGTCAAACCTTTTGGCTTTAAGTGAAACGGATACATTCTTTGACTTATAGTAATCATTTTAAGCCATTTATGATTTTTTTATGGATGGCAGACAGACTAATTCTTTAATTTCTTCTTTAAGTAATTATCTCTTCCGATTTTGTGGCAGAGCCGCAATGAGTTGGTAATAATTTGTATTGAGCATACACTTCCATACACTGTTGTTAGTTGCTTGTGTGACAATCTTACCGTCCTTGTTTACAATGTCCTTCATAAATATTATACCCTTCTTTTTTTTATCTAGAAAATAGTTTTTTTCTCTATCAGTACATTGGAATTTAGCCAATTATTTGCTGTAATAATATATCTGCCTTTTCTGGAAGACGACATTTCAATTGTAGCCAACTCTGTATGACTTCATTTAAAAAGGATGCTACTTTAAACAGGCATCCATTGTCAATACACCGAAAATGTGAGTTTTTAATCTGCAAAAAGGCAAAGAGCACACTCTTAAACATAGGATGGGCATCTCTTAGTAGCTTGCTAGATAACCAGTTTGGATTTAGATTCAATTTCGGTACAATGGAGGCTTTAAGAGAGAGGTTTAATGCCTTAACTTTTATTAGTTTTAACCCTCCAAACTCATGTTCGTTATATAAATATACTTGTTTAACATTATCTGGTTTGCCATTTCAAATAAAGGGAAATATTTATTTTGACATTATTCGAAAAATGATTCTCCTGGAGTTGGTAGATCCAAGAATAAATATGTTAACTGTGATATCACTAGAGAATTAATCAGGGTAATATTCCCGTAAATGGATAGGTGTTTCCCTCTCCACGGTTTCAAGATTCTATCTATTTTACTAAGTTTTCTATCATAGTTAAATCGGAAGACCACATGGTAATTTAACATTTGTGTCTTTTAGAGACCGAATCCGTAATATAGCACACTTATCATAATTGGGGTTTAGTCCAGAGAAACTGGAGAAATTATCCACGTACTAAATTAGGCCCTTCAAGGTTGAAGATTGAGGACACAAGAAAACTTGAATAATTTGCATACATCGATACTTTTGTCTCTAATCCATATATATTTTTTTCTTGAATGTTATCAATAGATCAGATTTTTAAAGCTAACAGTTCAATGGCCATAAAAAAATAGGTATGGTGACAGAGGGCAACCTTGTTTTACACCTCTTGACAATTAAATGTTATCAGAGAAGTAACTGTTATTTATTATTTTGCATAAAGGATTGTTGAACATCTTTTATCCAGGCACTTATAAACCGATTCTAGACAGTACGTCTAGAATCGGTTTATAAGTGCCTGGATTTTTGTTCAACTTTGGAGAATCTCTCATAAGATGGGTAAAATAAATGCTGTTATAAAGACTATACCTGGTTTCCCTGCATGCTCATAGTCTAATGTTGTCTCCTATATATCTTCCTTTTAAGAATACCGTCTGATCGTGATGATTAATGTCCGGTAGAACCTTTTTTATTCTATGAGCAATACATTTTGCCAATGTTTTTGCATCGCAAAATTGAAGGGTGAGGGGCCTCCAATTTATTTAAGAGGCTGGGTCTTTGTATTGCCCCCCTGGCTCCTGCTTCAGCAGGAGAGAGATCAGTCCCTCTTTTTGTGTGTCCAACAGTTTTCCATTTATATATGAGTAATTAAAACATAATAGTAATGGATCTTTCAGTACTTCATCAAAAGTTTCCTGACCATACATTTCCTGACTGGTAGGGTGGTGCACCCGAGTGGTGCAGCGGTCTAAGGCACTGCATCGCAGTGCTAGAGGCGTCACTACAGACCCAGGTTTGATCCCAGGCTGTGTCGCGGCCGGAGACCCATTAGGCGGCCCAGCATCGTCCGGGTAAGGGGAGGGTTCCTTTTCCCATCGTGCTCTAGCAACTACTTGTGGCGGGCCAGGCGCATGCACGCTGACTCATGTCGCCAGTCATACAGTGTTTCCTCCGACACATTGGTGCGGCTGGCTTCCGGGTTAAGCGGACAGGTGTTAAGGAGCGCGGTTTGGCGGATCATGTTTGGGAGTACGCATGACTCGACCTTCACCTCTCCAGAGACAATTGGGGAGTTCCAGCGATGAGACAAGATCGTAATTGGATCGCAATTGGATATCATGAAATTGGGGAGAAATAGGGGGAAGTGAAAATTTCGCCTGTTCAGGGAAAGTACATTTTTAGGTTGCAGGGAGGTTCTGAGAACGTTTTACTATGGTTCCCTGAACGGAATTTCTAGGTTATTTGAAGGTAATTAAAGAATGTTCTGAGGACATGTTTCAATAAGACTTTTATTAACACTGCAAGCTTAGTTTGGGTTAACTGTTTTGAACTCCAAGCACAGATAGGACACATGGAAATTCATTTACTTAGGCATTAATCATTCAAACACATTTCTTTTTTATTGTGGCACAGAGGAATTCAAACCTATGATCTTCTGTTCTCTATCCATGGAATTAGTCCACTGCGCCAACAGGATGGAGCGAGCATGCCATGTTATTTTTTTACTCATACAAAGCTGTTAATTTTTGTCTATTCAAACAGTCCCCATGTCATCCAGTCACCCAGCACGCAGATGAGCTTCCCTGAGACGGTTTCTGACAGTTTGTGCAGAAATTCTTCGGTTGTGCAAACCCACAGTTTCATCAGCTGTCTGGGTGACTGGTCTCAGATGATCAACAGGTGAAGAAGCCGGATGTGGAGGTCCTGGGATGGCGTGGTTACACGTGGTCTGCGGTTGTGAGGCCGGTTGGACGTATTGCCAAATTCTCTAAAACGACATTGGAGGCGGCTTATGGTAGAAATAAACATTCAATTCTCTGGCAACAGCTCTGGTGGACGTTCCTGCAGTCAGTATGCCGATTGCACGCTCCCTCAAAACGTGAGACGTCTGTGGCATTGTGTTGTGTGCCAAAACTGCACATTTTAGAGTGGCCTTTTATTGTCCCCAGCACAAGATGTACCTGTGTAATGATCAATTAACAGGTGTGCCTTCTTAAAAGTTAATTTGTGGAATTTCTTTCCTTCTTAATGTGTTTGAGCCAATCAGTTGTGTTGTGACAAGTTAGGGGGGGTATCCAGAAGATAGCCGTATTTGGTAAAAGACCAAGTCCATATTATGGCAAGAACAGCTCAAATAAGCAAAGAGAAACAACAGTCCATCATTACTTTAAGACATGAAGGTCAGTCAATATGGAACATTTCAATAACTTTTAAAGTTTCTTCAAGTGCAGTCGCAAAAACCATCAAGCGCTATGATGAAACGGGCTCTCATGAGGACCCCCACAGGAATGGAAAACCCAGAGTTACCTCTTCTGCAGAGGATAAGTTCATTAGAGTTACCAGCCTCAGAAATTGCAGCACAAATAAGTGCTTCAAGTAACAGACATCTCAACATCAACTGTTCAGAGGAGACTGTGTGAATCAGGCCTTCATGGTCGACTTGCTGCAAAGAAACCACTACTAAAGAACACCAATAAGAAGAAGAGACCTGCTTGGGCCAGGAAACACGAGTAATGGACATTAGACCAGTGGAAATGTGTCCTTTGGTCTGGAGTCCAAATTGGAGACTTTTGGTTCCAACCGCCATGTCTGTGAGACGTAGAGTATGTGAACGGATGATCTCCGCATGTGTATTTCCCACCGTAAAGCATGAAGGAGTTATGGTGTGGGGGTGCTTTGCTGGTGACACTGTCTGTGATTTATTTAGAATTCAAGGCACACTTAACCAGCATGGCTACCACAGCATTCTGCAGCGATACGCCATCCCATCTGGTTTGGGCTTAGTGGGACTATCATTTGTTTTTCAACAGGACAATGCTCCAACACACCTCCAGGTTGTGTAAGGGCTATTTTACCAAGAAGGAGAGTGATGGAGTGCTGCATCAGATGACCTGGCCTCCACAATCCACCGACCTCAACCCAATTGAGATGGTTTGGGATGATTCGGACTGCAGAGTGAAGGAAAATCAGCCAACAAGTGCTCAGTATATGTGGGAACTCCGGAAAAGCATTCCAGGTGAAACTGGTTGAGAGAATGCCAAGCGTGTGCAAAGCTGTCATCAAGGCAAAGGGTGGCTATTTGAAGAATCTCAAATATAAAATATATTTTGATTTGTTTAACACTTTTTTGTTTACTACATGATTCCATATGTGTTACTTCATAGTTTTGATGTCTTCACTATTATTATACAATTTTAAAATAGTAAAAATAAAGAAAAACCCTTGAATGAGTAGGGGTGTCCAAACTTTTGACTGGTACTGTATGTAAACTGTATCTACAGTGGGGGAAAAAAGTATTTAGTCAGCCACCAATTGTGCAAGTTCTCCCACTTAAAAAGATGAGAGAGGCCTGTAATTTTCATCATAGGTACACGTCAACTATGACATACAATTGAGAAAAAAATTCCAGAAAATCACATTGTAGGATTTTTTTATGCATTTATTTGCAAATTATGGTGGAAAATAAGTATTTGGTCACCTACAAACAAGCAAGATTTCTGGCTCTCACAGACCTGTAACTTCTTCTTTAAGAGGCTCCTCTGTCCTCCACTCGTTACCTGTATTAATGGCACCTGTTTGAACTTGTTATCAGTATAAAAGACACCTGTCCACAACCTCAAACAGTCACACTCCAAACTCCACTATGGCCAAGACCAAAGAGCTGTCAAAGGACACCAGAAACAAAATTGTAGACCTGCACCAGTCTGGGAAGACTGAATCTGCAATAGGTAAGCAGCTTGGTTTGAAGAAATCAACTGTGGGAGCAATTATTAGGAAATGGAAGACATACAAGACCACTGATAATCTCCCTCAATCTGGGGCTCCACGCAAGATCTCACCCCGTGGGGTCAAAATGATCACAAGAACGGTGAGCAAAAATCCCAGAACCACACAGGGGGACCTAGTGAATGACCTGCAGAGAGCTGGGACCAAAGTAACAAAGCCTACCATCAGTAACACACTACGCCGCCAGGGACTCAAATCCTGCAGTGCCAGACGTGTCCCCCTGCTTAAGCCAGTACATGTCCAGGCCCGTCTGAAGTTTGCTAGAGTGCATTTGGATGATCCAGAAGAGGATTGGGAGAATGTCATATGGTCAGATGAAACCAAAATAGAACTTTTTGGTAAAAACTCAACTCGTCGTGTTTGGAGGACAAAGAATGCTGAGTTGCATCCAAAGAACACCATACCTACTGTGAAGCATGGGGGTGGAAACATCATGCTTTGGGGCTGTTTTTCTGCAAAGGGACCAGGACGACTGATCCGTGTAAAGGAAAGAATGAATGGGGCCATGTATCGTGAGATTTTGAGTGAAAACCTCCTTCCATCAGCAAGGGCATTGAAGATTAAACGTGGCTGGGTCTTTCAGCATGACAATGATCCCAAACACACCGCCCGGGCAACGAAGGAGTGGCTTCGTAAGAAGCATTTCAAGGTCCTGGAGTGGCCTAGCCAGTCTCCAGATCTCAACCCCATAGAAAATCTTTGGAGGGAGTTGAAAGTCCGTGTTGCCCAGCGACAGCCCCAAAACATCACTGCTCTAGAGGAGATCTGCATGGAGGAATGGGCCAAAATACCAGCAACAGTGTGTGAAAACCTTGTGAAGACTTACAGAAAACGTTTGACCTGTGTCATTGCCAACAAAGGGTATATAACAAAGTATTGAGAAACTTTTGTTATTGACCAAATACTTATTTTCCACCATAATTTGCAAATAAATTCATAAAAAATCCTACAATGTGATTTTCTGGATTTCTTTTTCTCATTTTGTCTGTCATAGTTGCCGTGTACCTATGATGAAAATTACAGGCCTCTCTCATCTTTTTAAGTGGGAGAACTTGCACAATTGGTGGCTGACTAAATACTTTTTTTCCCCACTGTATCATTTCCATTCACTTTGCTGTGGGAGCATTGTCAACCTTTTTCCTCTGAGAATTATAATCACAAAATAATTTCCTGTAAGAATATTTACCCAAATAATGTCAATGTCTACATCTCATGACACACCATGGATAACCATCTCCTTATGACAACAAAACTTTTGCTCTAAAACAAACAATAATTTGATACAATAGGCATGTTGAAGTAAGCTCTGATGTGTATGCCGTGTGTCAACAGACAGTGCCTTCAGAAAGTATTCATACATTTTGTTGTGTTAAAGCCTGAATTTAAAATGTATTCAATTGAGATTTTTGTCACTAGCCTACACACAATACCCCATAATGTCAAAGTGTGTCACGATCGTCATACATAGAGGAGGACCAATGCGCAGCGTTGAAGGTGAACATATTTTATTACTATAACTGATCACACGATCAAAAACACAAACGAAAACGTGACGTCTACGGTTTAACACGAACCGAAATGAACAAGAAACCACAAACACAACGTGAAAGACAGATAGTTAAATATGGCTCCCAATCAGAGACAACGAGCCAACAGCTGACACTCGTTACCTCTGATTGGGAGTCACTCAAACAAAGAAATACAATAACCTAGAACCCACAACAAAACATAGAAACTAACACCCTGGCTCAACATACGAGAGTCCCCCGAGCCAGGGCGTGACAGTACCCCCCCCTAAAGGCGCGGACTCCGACCGCGCCAACGAAACACAACAGGGGAGGGACCGGGTGGGCACTCCGCCTAGGCGGCGGATCCGGCTCCAGTGGAACAGGCACGTGCCGTGCCGGACCGACGACGCACACCACTGGCTTGGTGTGGGGAACAGGCACGGGCCGTGCTGCACTGACGACGCACACCACTGGCTTGGTGTGGGGAGCAGGAGCGGGCCGGACAGGGCTGACGAACCGCCCCACAGACTTGGTGCTGGGAGCAGGAATGGGCCGGACCGGGCTGACGAGACGCACCACAGACTTGACGCGGGGAGCAGGAATGGGCCGGACCGGGCTGGCGACGCGCACCCCCGACCTGGTGCGGGGAGCAGGAACGGGCAGAGCCGGGCTGACGAGACGCACCACAGACTTGACGCGGGGAGCAGGAATGGGCCGGACCGGGCTGGCGACGCGCACCCCCGACCTGGTGCGGGGAGCAGGAACGGGCAGAGCCGGGCTGACGAGACGCACCACAGACTTGATGCGGGGAGCAGGAATGGGCCGGACTGGGCTGGCGACGCGCACCGCAGGTTCGGTGCGGGGAGCAGGAATAGACCGGACCGTACTGGGGACACACACCACTGGCTCTACACCGGGATCTGGAACGGGCCGGACCGGACTGGCAACACACGCCAGTACCTCTCGCCGTGCCTCCACACCTTCCATCCCCTCTTCTACCAGTGGCCCCCGTAACCCGGCGGCCTTCTCCGGCAACCCACTGGACCGCTCTATCGCGGCCTCCTGCTGGTCCGCCGTCGTGAGCCCCCCCCTAAAAATTTTCGGGGCGTCTCTCCTACCCGTGGACCACGTCTCCATATCCCTCGCCAGCTTCTCGCCCTTCTGCCATAATGTCAAGCCCTTGTCTTCCTCCCTCGGCTTGACCCAGTCCAGGAGGCGAAGGAGATCTGTGAGGGATCTCCCTGGCGATGGCTCCTGAACACGCTGCTTGGTCCCATCTTGGTGGTTTCTTCTGTCACGATCGTCATACATAGAGGAGGACCAATGCGCAGCGTTGAAGGTGAACATATTTTATTACTATAACTGATCACACGATCAAAAACACAAACGAAAACGTGACGTCTACGGTTTAACACGAACCGAAATGAACAAGAAACCACAAACACAACGTGAAAGACAGATAGTTAAATATGGCTCCCAATCAGAGACAACGAGCCAACAGCTGACACTCGTTACCTCTGATTGGGAGTCACTCAAACAAAGAAATACAATAACCTAGAACCCACAACAAAACATAGAAACTAACACCCTGGCTCAACATACGAGAGTCCCCCGAGCCAGGGCGTGACAAAGTGGAATTATGTTTTTAGAAATCTTGACAAATTAATAAAAACATTTAAGCTGAAATGTATTGAGTTAATAAGTATTCAATCCCTTTGTTATTGCAAGCCAAAATAAATTCAGGAGCAAAAATGTGCTTAACAAGTCACATAATAAATTGCATGGAGTCACTCGGTGTACAATAATAGTGTTTAACATGATTTTTTAATGACTACCTCATCTCTGTACCCCACACATTCAATTATCTGTAAGGTCCCTCAGTCGAGCAGTGAATTTCAAACACAGATACAACCACAAAGACCATGGAGGTTTTCCAATGGCTCGCAAAGAAGGGCAGCTATGGTAGACAGGTAAAAAAAAAGCAGACATTGAATATCCCTTTGAGCATGGTGAAGTTATTAATGTCACGCCCTGACTCAGGGGACGCTTATATGTTGAGTCAGGGTGTGTATATTCCTTGTTGTGCTTTGTATATGTTTAGGATCTAGTATGTCTAGTTCTATGTTGGCCGGTGTGGTTCCCAATCAGAGGCAGCTGTCGCTCGTTGTCTCTGATTGGGGACCATACTTAAGCAGCCTATTGGCACTGTCTAGTTGTGGGATCTTGTTCCTTGTAAGGTATGTTGTGTGTGCTACATTGGACTTCACGTTTCGTTTCGTTTATTATTTTATAGAGTGTTTATTGGTTTAATAAACATGTACATATATCACGCTGCGCCTTGGTCTGTCCCGTCATTAAACGAACGTGACAGAAGATCCCACCAAACGAGGACCAAGCTGCGTGCCCAGGCGGAGCGAATGGCCATGTCACAGGTGGCCGATTTGTGGTCATGGGAAGAGATATTTGCGGGGAGAGGACCATGGGCTAAGTTAGATGCCCAGGCAGGAGAGGCGCAACGGCAACACGGAGGAGGCCGGTGGAGGAGGAAGCCCGAGAAGCAGCCCCAATAAAAAATTTTGGGGGGGGAACACGGGGTGGTTGGCGGAGCCTAGGGTTAGAGCAGAGCCAACTCCCCGTACTCACGCGAAGAGGCGTATGAGTGGGCAAGCTCCGTGTTATGCGGAGCTACGTACTGTGTCACCTGTGCGCCGGCACAGTCCTGTACGTCCTGTGCTTGCACCACGCACGTGCCGTGCAAAGATGGGCATCCAGCCAGGACGGGGTGTGCCGGCTCAACGCTCCTGGTCTCCAGTACGCCTCCTCGGTCCCGCATATCCTGTGCCAGTTCTACGAACTGTATCACCAGTGCGCGTGCACAGCCCAGTGCGTCCTGTGCCAGCACCCCGCACGTGTAGTGCGAAAGTGGCCAGCCAGCCAGGACGGGTTGTGCCAGCTCTCCGCTCTAGACCTCCAGTCCGCCTCCACAGTCCGGCCCGGCCTGTTCCTGCTCCTCGCACCAAGACAGTGGTGCGCATCGCCAGCCCGGCCCGGCCTGTTCCTGCTCCTCGCACCAAGACAGTGGTGGGCGTCGCCAGCCCGGCCCGGTCTGTTCCTGCTCCTCGCACCAAGACAGTGGTGCGCATCGCCAGCCCGGCCCGGCCTGTTCCTGCTCCTCGCACCAAGACAGTGGTGGGCGTCGCCAGCCCGGCCCGGTCTGTTCCTGCTCCTCGCACCAAGCCAGTGGTGCGCGTCGCCAGTCCGGCCCGGCCTGTTCCTGCTCCTCGCACCAACCAGTGGTGCGCGTCGCCAGTCCAGCCCGGCCCTGTCCCTCGCACCAAGCCAGTGGTGCATGTTCCCAGTCCGGTCCGGCCCGTGCCTGCTCCTCGCACCAGACCAGTGGTGCGTTTGTCAAGTCCGGCACGGCCCGTGCCCGTTCCACCAGTGCCTGGTCCGGCACCGGTCAGCTGCTCCACTCCGGAGCCAGAGCAGTCCGCTCCACCAGTGCCTGATCCAGTGCCGGTCAGCTGTTCCACTCCGGAGCCAGAGCAGTCCGCTCCACCGGTGTCTGATCCAGCTCCGGTCAGCTGCTCCACTCCGGAGCCAGAGCAGTCCGCTCCACCGGTGCCTGATCCAGCTCCGGTCAGCTGCGCCACTCCGAAGCCAGAGCAGTCCGCTCCACCGGGGTCCAGTCCAGCTCCGGTCAGCGGCTCCACTCCGGAGCCAGAGTAGTCCACTCCACCGGTGCCTGATCCAGCTTCGGTCTGCGGCTCCACTCCGGAGCCAGAGCAGTCCGCTCCAACGGTGCCTAGTCCAGCTCCGGTCAGCGGCTCCAGTCCAGACCATGACGTCAGCCCCTCTTCAGGTTCGGGGTCTCCCACACCAGGGTCCAGACAGGGCCTGGCGTATCGTGGGAGGAAGGAGAGGGGAAGCAGCGCGCCGAGGTCCAGACCAGAGGCGCAACAGGGAGGCGGAGAGTGAGAGGTCGTCACGCCCCGAGCCGGATCCGCCTCCGAGGCGGAATGCCCACCCGGCCCCTACCCTGTTATGTTTATGTTGTGCGGTCGGAGTCCGCACCTTTGGGGGGGGGGGGGGGGTACTGTCACGCCCAGGGGACGCTTATATGGTCCTCTGTAGCTCAGCTGGTAGAGCACGGCGCTTGTAACACCAAGGTAGTGGGTTCGATCCCCGGGACCACCCATACACAAAAAAAAAATGTATGCACGCATGGCTGTAAGTCGCTTTGGATAAAAGCGTCTGCTAAATGGCATATTATATTATTATTATATTATATGTTGAGTCAGGGTGTGTATATTCCTTGTTGTGCTTTGTCTACAGTGGGAGAACAAGTATTTGATACACTGCCGATTTTGCAGGTTTTCCTACTTACAAAGCATGTAGAGGTCTGTAATTTTTATCATAGGTACACTTCAACTGTGAGAGACGGAATCTAAAACAAAAATCCAGAAAATCACATTGTATGATTTTTAAGTAATTAATTTGCATTTTATTGCATGACATAAGTATTTGATCACCTACCAACCAGTAAGAATTCCGGCTCTCACAGACCTGTTAGTTTTTCTTTAAGAAGCCCTCCTGTTCTCCACTCATTACCTGTATTAACTGCACCTGTTTGAACTCGTTACCTGTATAAAAGACACCTGTCCACACACTCAATCAAACAGACTCCAACCTCTCCACAATGGCCAAGACCTGTGTAAGGACATCAGGGATAAAATTGTAGACCTGCACAAGGCTGGGATGGGCTACAGGACAATAGGCAAGCAGCTTGGTGAGAAGGCAACAACTGTTGGCGCAATTATTAGAAAATGGAAGAAGTTCAAGATGACGGTCAATCACCCTCGGTCTGGGGCTCCATGCAAGTTCTCACCTCGTGGGGCATCAATGATCATGAGGAAGGTGAGGGATCAGCCCAGAACTACACGGCAGGACCTGGTCAATGACCTGAAGATAGCTGGGACCACAGTCTCAAAGAAAACCATTAGTAACACACTACGCCGTCATGGATTAAAATCCTGCAGCGCACGCAAGGTCCCCCTGCTCAAGCCAGCGCATGTCCAGGACCGGAGTCTACGCAGACCGGTGAACCATAGCCAATCAGAGCAACAGTAGGCCTTTATGCAAACAAGCCATTTGCCACACAGGCCTGCCATCATTCACTTTGAACTGGACTGTGTGTTTACAGGCAGTTGCAACAGCGCGACTTTAGATAATTAGAACGTATTCGCCAAAAGCCACAAAGTACACCTGAATAGATTTCTGCAAATATGTCAATACCACGGAAGTCCTCTTACATTTGGGAACTTTACAGTCCTATTGATCAAACACCATGAAAAGGTAGGCTCTCTCTCCCTCAGTTATGCACATCAACAACAACAAGATCAACAACTAATGCTAGCCAGAGCAAGATGAGATAAAACCTAACGAAGGAGCATTAGATAAACCCTCTCAAACAGTTACAACTAGTTGGCCGTCACAATTGCACACAAAAATGATGGGGAATCGTAGCCTATTCGTACTTCTGCTGCTTGCCTGCAACCAAGCACCCAAGCTAACTGGCTAAAGTTGAATAGCTTGCTAGCTAGCCACTCCCAGACACAGATGAGAGAACAACTCTGACCATTTTACTTGCCCTAGCAGAGCTGGTTAGCTAAGCTGTACTTTTTTATGCCTACATTTACTGACACCGGTCATATTCAGCAGGTGTTGTGCATTCGTAAATTCATCAGTTATTCTGCGCTCTGGCACACTTAGACGAGAGTGCTCTGAAATTTGCGAACGCAAGAGATATACTGACTGGATAATAGTCGTTCAAGTTCTTGCTAGTTACGAAATCACACCCACTCCTCCAATGACGTGACATGACATCCTCCTATCAGCTAGCTAGCTAACGTTAGGGTCCGTGTTTTTAGCTTGCTACATAAACAGATACGCTAGCCTATTAGCCACGTTATCATTGTCCTTGCTAGTTTGATTGTACTGACATTCTCAGCCTTAGTTACATTCGTCCGTTTTTGTCCAAAGTATTGAGTCATTGAAACTGAAACAGTGCATGCCGACTGGAGGCAGCAAACAATGTACCAGGCCAGCTGTGATTTACAACCTAATAGCAATATTTTTTTGGACTACCAAGAAATGCAATGGTGAATTATATTAATTATGCATTGAACTGCATCCATCTATTCTGCCAACAATGTCATGGAATGTTGAGTCAAATATAACCTATTTTTAAAACCTCTTATATAGTAGATTTTGTAGCATAAACTGGGAATTTGATATTTTTGACTGGTATTATGATTGTCTGTTTGTTTCACGTCTGCAAAGTAGTTAAAACGCTGTCAGTTCCACTTTAAATCTATTTGAAAATCTATGGCACGACCTGAAAATGATTGTCTAGCAATGATCAACAACCTATTTGACAGAGCTTGAAGAATTTTGAAAATAATAATGGGCAAATGTTGCACAATCCAGGTGTGGAAAGATCTTAGAGGCTTACCCAGAAAGACTCACAGCTGAGTCTTGACTCAGGGGTGTCAAGTTCTTTGGTGTCCACATCACCAACAGACTATCATGGTTCAAACACACCAAGACAGTCGTGAAGAGGGCACGACAACACCTTTTCCCCCTCAGGAGACTGAAACGATTTGGCATGGGTTCTCAGACCCTAAAAAGCTCTACAGCTGCACCATCGAGAGCATCCTGACCGATTGCATCACCGCCTGGTATGGCAACTGCTCGGCATCCGACCGTAAGGCGCTACAGAGGATAGTGCGTACGGCCCAATACATCACAGGGGCCAAGCTTCCTGCCATCCAGGACCTATATACTAGGTGGTGTCTGCGGAAGTCCCAAAAAATTGTAAAAGACTCCAGTCACTCAAGTCATAGACTGTTTTCTCTGCTACCGCACGGCAAGCGGTACCGGAGCACCAAGTTTAGTTCCAAAAGGCTCCTTAACAGCTTCTACCCCAAAGCCATAACACTGCTGAACAATTAATCAAATGCCCCCCTACTCGCTGTTTATTATCTATGCATACCCCTACCTACATGTACAAATGACCTCGACTAACCTGTACCCCCACACATTGACTCAGTACCGGTACCCCCTCTATATACAGTTGAAGTTGGAAGTTTACATACACTTTTTCAACTCGTTTTTCAATCACTTCACAAATTTCTTGTTAACAAACTATAGTTTTGTCAAGTCGGTTAGGACATTTACTTGGTGCATGATACAAGTAATATTTCCAACAATTGTTTACAGACAGATTATTTCACTTATAATTCGCTGTATCACAATTCCAGTGAGAAGTTTACATACACTAAGTTGACTGTGCCTTTAAACAGCTTGGGAAATTCCAGAAAATGATGTCATGGCTTTAGAAGCTTCTGATAGGCTAATTGACATCATTTGAGTCAATTGGAGGTGTACCTGTGGATGTATTTCAAGGCCTACCTTCAGACTCAGTGCCTCTTTGCTTGACATCATGGGAAAATGAAAAGAAATCAGCCAAGACCTCAGAAAAAAAATTGTAGACCTCCACAAGTCTGGTTCATCCTTGGGAGCAATTTCCAAACGCCTGAAGGTACCACGTTCATCTGTACAAACAATAGTACGCAAGTATAAACACAGCCGTCATACCGCTCAGGAAGGAGACGCGTTCTGCCTCCTAGAGATGAACGTACTTTGGTGCGAAAAGTGCAAATCAATCCCAGAACAACAGCAAAGGACCTTGTGAAGATGCTGGAGGAAACAGGTACAAAAGTATCTATATCCACAGTAAAACGAGTCCTATATTGACATAACCTGAAAGGCCGCTCAGCAAGGAAGAAGCCACTGCTCCAAAACCGCCATAAAAAAGCCAGACTACGGTTTGCAACTGCACATGGGGACAAAGATCGTACTTTTTGGAGAAATGTCCTCTGGGAATGTGATGAAATAAATAAAAGCTGAAATAAATCATTCTCTCTACTATTATTCTGACATTTCACATTCTTAAAATAAAGTGGTGATCCTAACTGACATAAGACAGTGTCAGGGTTGAGTGTAGAGGTGGTGTAGAATCAGGCGCAGGACACACAGAGGTTTCGAACAGCGTCTTTAGTAAAGTCCAAAAAAACGAGCCAAACACGGCAACAGGCTACAGGTGAACTTTACGCACAACAGTAAAGTATGCTAAGGCGCACAAAGTGCGGAACTCTCTCTCTTAAAACACAAAATACAGAGAGAACAGAAATAACGAATTAGCACACAACGTGACGAGGAACAATTACACACAACACCTGACCAAACACAAGAGAACTAAATAGGACGCCTAATAAGGAACAGGTGTAGCAAAACAGACAAAACCAATCAAACATAGAAACATCGAACGGTGGCAGCTAGTACTCCGGAGACGACGACCGCCGAAGCCTGCCCGAACAAGGAGAAGGAGCAGCCTCGGCCGAAACCGTGACAGACAGGGAATTTTTAAATGTCAGGAATTGTGAAAAACTGATTTTAAATGTTTTTGGCTAAGGTGTATGTAAACTTCCGACTTCAACTGTAGCCTCGTTATTGTTATGTAATCTTATTGTGTTATTATTTTTAATTTTTTTACTTTAGTTTATTTAGCAAATATTTTCTTAACTCTATTTCTTGAACTGCATTGTTGGTTAAGGGCTTGTAAGTAAGGTCTACACCTGTTGATTTCGGCTCATGTGACGAATAAAATGTGATTTGATTTGAATACTTATGTAAAATATATATTTCTGTATTTCATTTTCAATAAATTTGCAAACATTTCTAAAAACATGTTTTCACTTTGTCATTATAAGGTATTGTGCTCAGATGGGTGAGAACATTTGTTAACACCATTTTGAATTCAGGCTGTAACACAACAAAATGTGGAATAAGTCCAGGGGTATGAATACTTTCTGAAGGCACTGTACATGGATACAGCATCTTCCTCCAGCTAGCCACATACATTAAGCCATGTTTACATTAGCACGGTCAGATAGTCCAGGGGCAGTATCGGCCGTATGTATCAAGCGTCTCAGAGTCGGAGGAGCGCTGATCTAGGATCAGGTCCCACCTGTCCATGTAATCTTATTCATTGTGATCTAAAAAGCTAAACTTATCCTCAATCAGATACATATCCTCTGTTCTTACCTGGGCACAGTGGAGAGATAGGTCACCAGCCGCCGCAGTTCCTCGTGTTTTATTCTGTCATGGTTGCTTCTGGCAGGGAAGGTCAGTATGGGGCCACCTCTCTTATCACGGCCTCCTTTAGGAACACAGACAGCAGAAATCTCCTGATTTATGAAAGCCCTATGGCAGATATAGATAGAGCTTTAAGTGCACACAGGGTTCCTCCCAAATGGCACCCTATTCCCTGTATAGTGCACTACTCTTGACCAGGGCCCAAAAACATCTCTCCATTTTCTCAGCATTCTCTCAAAGTGCCTGTATAGATCAATTACAGTATAACATGATATACAACATAATGAGAGTAGAAAGGCTCTGTCTTCATATCTCTTATTTACTAGGTATTTGTCCAAAATGGCACCCTATTCCCTGTACTACTTTTGTCCAGAACCCATGGTCAAAAGTAGTTCACTATAATATTATTATTATTTATTTTATATATATATTTTTTAACTTTAGTTTATTTAGTAATATTTTCTTAACTCTATTTTCTTAAAACTGCATTGTTGGTTAAGGGCTTGTAAGTAAGCATTTCACGGTAAGGTCTACACCTGTTGTATTCGGCGCATGTGACAAATAACATTTGATTTGATAATAGGGAATATAGTGCCATTTGGGACGCATCCCATGTGTGGAGAGATGCATGACCAGATTGAGGTTGAAGTACAGTGCACATTTGTTTATCACTGGTGCTCATGGGACTTTGTGAGCAGCACCAGGAAGGCAGACATGGGGGCAGGGAGGCAAGGCAGCAGCAGCGTCCCAGAGGGAGGGTGGTGACAGATCTTTGTTGACACTTTTTGGAAGCACCAACCCCCTCGGATGGCGGAGCTCCCCTATGGTTCACCCTCCCCTCAACTCCCTGACAAATGTCCACCAGTCTTTCATCCTCAAGGTCCCCCCCCCCCCCCCCCCAAACACTGGGCCTCATCAGAGAGAAGGCCAACAATATTACTCTACTGCTTCTGAGGGAACCTCTGTGATGTATTTTGGGGAGAAAAAAACCTCAGTGAGATACTACTCATACCAGAGTAGTTCCATCTCCCAGGAGAGAGAGAGAGCGGGAGGGAGCAAGAAAGAGATGGATAGAGAGAGCGAGAGAGAGAGAGAGGGGGAACGAGATAGGGAGAGGTGAGATATCTATTCTCTATGCCTTGAGTTAACAGCCTTATGTGTATTAGACTAAATGAGAATTTCTCTATTTTACATGGCGTTTAGCTTGTTTTTACAACTGCGCTCCAGTCATGTCCAGTTCCCCGCCAGCTCTCTTTGCCAGCATTTGGCCTGGTTACCCTGTTCATTGAGAGATGAGTCAAAAACGATTAAACAAAAGGTAAAAAAACGTTTTTAGTCACACGGCTGGCTGCATTGTACTAAGAGGGATTCTGGCCAACAGCATTGTATTAATGAGCAATTTTCATGGATATTTAAATCTCCACTGTCCAGACTTGGGTTCAAACACTATTTGAAATAATTTCAAATGTAGCTGTGCTTGATTGAGCTTGCCTGCGGCAATAGAGCCAATAGAATACTTGCAAAACTGCAGGCAGGCTAAAACAAACACTAAAAGTATTCAAAAGATTTGGAATAGTATTTAAACCCAGGTCTGCCATGGTACTGTTGAACTCTGTAACGAGCATGTCCTGTACAGTAGAAATGACCGGGGTGATATCTTCCTCTGAATGAGACTGTCTGTGTCCTAAATGGCACCCCATTCACTACAGGCCTATGGGCCCTGGTCAAAAGTAGTGAACTTTCTAGGGAATATGGTGCCATTTGGGACGCATGCAGAGGAGAGCACTAAGGCTCTTCACCTTAAGTGACCATAGAATGAGTGATCTCTCGTTTCAGTCTCTCAACAGCCACTATGATCTGTAAGGAATTAGCAAAGGTATGACCTGTCTGAACTAGGGCAGTTGCGGTGACCGTATTACTGCCATACCGGCAGTCATGAGTCATGGTAATCTCCCTTTATGCCCTCTGGACATGTGTTGGTAGTACCCAATTTGCTAACAACCATCAGGTCGTAATGGCCTGGTAATCAAGGCTCTATTGTCCCTCTAACCACTCTGACCACTCTCACCACCATGCGTTTCCATCTCCTCCTCTCTCTCCTTTACTCCTTACTCGAGTGGGCTGTCAACAGTTTAGTGAAATATGTTTCGTTGCGAAAACATGTTTTTATCGATGTTACCGAACAGATTTCACTTGGTTTCCCAAATTAAGCACTGGGTAGCTGCAGGAACAGGGTTGGAGAGCCCATGGCATACAGAGTTTGGGCAGAATATCACCTGTCGCGCAGCGAGAGCATGCTCCTCAAACAGTGGTTGATGCGTGGAGTTAAATAAGTGTTCTTATATTTAGCCATATAACATACAGTAGGCCAACTATATTCCGTTTCTTCATATCATAATGTTTCTTTAGACCTGACTAAAATAAATAATGGATTTATTGTGATGGTGTATATTAAATTGATTTATTAGACTTTTTAAATGTAGATGTTCCAAAGGTGTGCGAATCAGCGGCTTCTATGCATCTTGTATGTGTGGAGGCCTGGAGATGCTAAACGTGTTTATGTTAATTAACCGTCAATTACAGTGAAACCGGCAGTCTTTTGCGTGACAATAACTCGCTGACAAAATGTAATGACGACCACAGCCCTAGTCTGAACTAATGGCGTATCACATGTCCTGATGTACCGTGTGCTGTTGTTCCTGTCCCATACGTATACAATGGTGTCAAAGAGACAAAAGGAGCACCAGGGGTACATTCCCTAGTAACTAAACGGAAGGAAAAGGGCCAAAACGGGGAGGGACCTACCTGAACTTGTCCAATAAGAAACTCTTTACGTTGCAAAACATTTTCTGTTGCAAAACGTTTTGCCACGGTGTGCACTAATGAATACACCCCTACATGAAGACGATAGTGTAACAGGAAGTTGTTGCACATGAAAGTTGTTGTGCCGATGGTTAAATGTCAACATGCTTGTCATGTACTACTAATCTTGCTTGCCATGGGAATTTCCTCAGCACAGGTCTGCCATGAACACTGACAGCTAGAACAGAAAACATCTTCATGATTTCCCATAGTGGATTAGTCAAGCTGAAGCATCACAGGCTGCAACCCAAACAGCACCCTATTCTCTATGTAGTGCACTACTTTGGAACAGGACCGATAGGGCTATGAAATAGGGTGCCATTTGGGACGTGGGCACTTACCTGACACAAAGGCCACTTTCTCTTTCAGCACAGGCAGGACATCTGATGCCTTAATCCCATCGTTCCTGAAGGACCCTGGAGAGGAGAGACAGATCAGGACATGATTCAGACAATCAGCTTTCATCTTCTATAATCTCATTAAGAGATTTACATTCCTGGACAAATGGAACACATAACTACAGTCTGATGATGATGATGACACAAAGACAAGCTCGGTCTTCTGCTCAAAGTTATTCCCAGACCCTGAGAACTTTTTCTTCAAAGTTTTTAGAAGTCAATGACATGTAATTGGAACTGGAACAAACAATGATAAGGCCTAACAGAATTCTCTGCTAGAGGTCTCTATAGGCCTTCTTTTTCATCCCACACACTGTAGTCACATACATGTAATATCGATGTTAAAGCCTGGCATGGTTCATTCAACATAACTTTTCCGATAGTGCTGGGAATTGCCAGGGACCTCACGATACGATATTACCATGATACTTAGGTGCCGATACAATACTTATTCCAATTATCACGATTCTATATGTATTGCGATTTGATACTGAAATGTTATTGTAATTTGATGTTCCAAACATATCACTATTGGCTCTATGTTCGGCTGGTGGGGGGTGGACATATTTGAGGTCTGTCCTTAAAAATGTGTGCCAATATGGCAATTTCAGTGAGCGCAACTAGGGATATTTAAGACCGAAAAGCTGGTCTTAGCGGTAATGCAATTGATTTTGCCAGTGGAGGCACACACAGTAGCCTTATGTACCTCACCAATGTTTTATTAAAATATCAGGAGCAGAAAAACAGTCAACAGACATTCCCTTTTTAAATTTATATTGGACATTAGGCTATTTTTGTCCAGCTTCTGTGAAACGTTTAGACTCATTATGTGCGATGCCCATTGCATGAAAAGTGGCAGTGCCTGTAGGAAGCCTGTTTAGGAACATCAAGTTATTAAAAAAGACTGCTTATCATTTTGTCAATACTGAAAATATCTCACTATTTAAAAAGAAGATGGAGAACAAGCTATAGGATGAAAAGTTTTAAATAGAACCATGAGGAAACCTGTAGAAAACGTTAAGCTGAAGTACTGAAATACCCACAGAAGAACATTGTTTCTTAACGTTCTCTGAACTATTTCAGAACATTCTCAATGTCAAACCAGTTGGAGAACTTTTCTAGAACATTACCATGTTTGAACTTTTAGGAAACGTTCTGTTAAAGTAATGAAATACCAAGAAAATATGTTTTTTTTCTGTCAAGTTCCTTAAAGGACCAATGCAGCCGTTTTAATCTCAATATCAAATATTTTCTGGTTAACAATTACGTAACTTACTGTGATTGTTTTCAATGAAAATGGTCAAAAAATTAAATAATGCTTCTTAGCAAAGAGCAATTTCTCACGTAACAATTTTGCTAGGACTGTCTGGCAGTGGTATGAGTGAGGAGGGGAAAACTGAAAACGTGTTGTTATTGGCAGAGAGGTTTGGAACTCTCTTTCTCATTGGTCTATCACCTAATTTACCACCTTGTGATGTCAAAACTCCATCCCACCAAAACAGCTCTGTCTTTTCAAACAGCTCTTACACTGTTTAATGTTCACAATTTCACAATATTATTCCAACCTCGTAGTGTGGATATATATATATAAAATACAGGAAAATCATGTTTTTGACTGCACTGGGCCTTTAAACGTGCTGAGAATGTTCCAAAACCAAGCAACTATCCTGCACCATTCCCAGAAACTTGTGGTAAGGTTGTATGCAAAATAACCATAGGACAACCATGCTCTCACCAAGCTCTAAGAAACATATGATTCTCAGAACATTATGTGCTAGCTGGGATATTACAATAGTTTCTACCACTCATTGACTTTGCACCACATACAGACTTGGTAGTCACACCAGTGCCTGGCCACTTTCCTTAGGCTATCTCTCTTGATCTACTCGACCGCACAAAAACACAGGGGGAGAGGCGAGGCAACGGCATCGATCATAACGCAGCAGCTAGCACAACGAACGAGCTGGAGGATGAAGAGCATTCTCCACACTACACCCCAGCGTGATGTGGAAAACACACAGCAGCACTGAATCACCCCAGTGTGTTCAAGTTCATGTCTACAAACAACAGCCGCTTCTCATCTGATTCATGCTTAAAAGGGCATTCTGGGATTTGAAAAACAACAAAGCAGGAACCCCGCCACTTTTTTGGGTAAACAGCTGAGGGATGGGGCAGCTGGAGAAATATAGCCACTCTCAAATTCCTAGACAGAGCTAGGGATGCATTGCCTGGCTACCCATCAACATCACTCTGGCCAACTGACGTTTGTTCTCCACATTGAGTCTGGATTTGCCTCCCTCCCTGATGATTTATAGAATGTAAAAACATTCTGACCGTTCTGATTGGTCCTAGAAACTGATGGGTTGGGCCAGAGCCGGCCAACATGATGACGTTATCAACTTTGATACTCTGATTGGTTAAATTTGTTAGAGACAATCCAATCACTAATGAATTTGTTTTGTACAGCGCCTTTCATTTTGAAGTCAAACAGAGCAGCGAAATTAAATTCAAGGTGACTCGTCAGTCATGCAAGGACTGACCATCCGTGATATCAAAATCAAACAAAATTGTATTAGTCCCAGATTGCCCTTTTAACCTTAGACAAAATAGACAGGAAAAAGTATACTACTCAATATTTGCAGAATCATCTGACCAAAATATGCAGTGATTTGTCTAGTCCAATATAGAGCACCCAATCAGAGCATAGCATGTGCGCGACATCAATGACCAAGAAAACCGCCACGCAACTAGTCATTACATCTAGATACCTAATCATTAAGTATGCACTGGTTTCCTATTGATTTCTATTAGATAAGGTGACTTGTCCCTACGGCCCCACATTGTTTGAGCAATAAAGCCATGTGATCTCTCTCTCTCTCTCTCGCTCCCTCCCTCTCACTCACTCTCTCTCACTCCCTCTCACTCTCTCTCCCTTTCCCCTCACCCCCCCCCCCCCCCCCCCCCCACTCTCTCCCTCCCTACTTTTCTTCCTCTCTCTCTCGCTTTCTCCTTCCCTCCCTGCAGGACTCTCAGTTCCTTCAGCTGGACGACCGTCTGTTGTGTTATGAAACCCACAGTGTCCAAAAGTGGCAGGATTCAAAAAACAAGCGCACATGTCCACCATCACCTGCTGTGGCTATGAGACACCGCGTTCTCAAAGAACATGATTTACCAAACACAGTCTCCAAAGAACATTCCACAGTATCCAGAGTAGACCAAGTGGAGTGCTATCTCAACAGTACAGAGGAGCCAAGAAGAAGAAGACAGAAGGACTCTGTAGGCCTCTCAGAGAGAGAAAGAGCTCACCTCCCATGGAGTTGACTTGATGTCTTACTGCCTGTTCCTGACATGGCCTGTCAGATGGCTGAGGGCCGTAGCACCAGGCAGGATGGATTCCCGTTTGTTTCAATTTGACAAAGGCTATTTCCTCTCAGCTTAGTGGAAGACCCTTGTCCTCCCCAAGCGTATAGCCCAGCCCATTGGAGTGGAGCAGTCTGCCAGCAGAGGCAGGCAGCCCTCCAATCCCACAGAACCCTGTAAAAACGTCTGTCCTGGGATCCAGAGAGGGGAGGGGAGGAGGGAGGAAAGGAGGAGAGAAGGAGGAGGGGAGGAGGACCCAGCTCTGGATATCAGATTCTCCCTTTTTCCTCACCTTCTAACCCGGCTGACCATAAAACTCCATAGACATTCTTCATCCTGACCTGTGGTGCGCTACGTAAAGACAGGGGAAGTGCACTCCACAGGTACCACCTGTCCATGACACACTACATCTTCACCAGAATATTGTAGTCATGGTCAAAAGTAGTGCACTATGTAGGGAAAAGGGTGCCATTTGGGACGCACAGCCAAATCATAAAAAAATGAAATCCTCCAAATACTTCAACCTGATTTAAAACATAACACAATAACGATCGCATCTAAGTTTGAGATGCCACCATCATCATTACTTCAGACCGAAACGTGTGCTTGTCGGCACCAGAGTGTCACAAACATCAGCCGGTTTGCTTTTGAAGTTAGGAGTAAATCATTAGGAGAGCAATCTGTTGCCGCAGTAATCCTGGGGTTGACAGTTGGGTGGCACAGGGACCACAGGACAGGACATCAGGACAAGTTCATGATATAGAGAGAGGGAGGGAGGTCGGGAGGGAGAATGTGCCCATCCCAGTCTCTGTTACTCTCTGTTACCATGTGTGCACTCCAAAGGCCCCCTTGTCTCTCCAATCTGTTTCTGATACATTTAAAGGCATTCTTTATGCTTACAACCTTCACTTTGAATGATTGCATTAAAACCTAAAACCTTCCTCCATAACTACGCATGTCAAATTTATTGCTGGGAGTAAGTGCTTACCTCGGAGCCTGACACAGACAGCAATGACGACTCACTCACTTTAATAATATCTAACGTTAACGCACCTCTGCGGGCGGATGAGTTTGGACACTTTCCAAATTCCCTTCGTGAGTAATTACATTTACCTTAAACACACACCAGTTACGACTGGAGGAGAGGCAATGATGGTTGAGCTTGGAAAAGCAGCAGACACCTCCAATCGGTCACACAGACTGAGGATGTGTTGCAAATGGCACCCTATACCTTACATAGCGCACTACTTTGACCCCTATGGGCCCTGGTCAAAAGTAGTGCACTATGTAGGGAATATGTTGAAACAGTGAAGGAACTGAGGGTCAATCACTGGGCACTGCAGTTCGTGCATAGATGGCCTGTACCACCTCTGATTAGAATTTAAATCATTACCAAACACAAGAACATATTCTTGTTTTCATACAGACAACGGTGATGTATAGCTGATGTCATAGCAACACACAAGGGGTCTATTTATTAGTGCACACTGTAGCAAAATGTTTTGCAATGGAACATGTTTTGTAACAAAAACTAGAGTTTCTTATTGGACAAATTCAGTTAGATCAGCCCTAAAAAAGATCTGATGTGAAAAGACCTGATGTGACTGATCAATTTGTGAAAAAAAGGGCAGCCTGTGTAAACGCACCCTTTGACACTAATATCATTTGGCACATGAATCACTTTAAAGAGCAACTGCCTTTAAAAAGCAACGAATCCCTTTGAAAATGTACTACAAAGTTTGATATGGCAAACCTAATTTAGTTCAGGAGTAGAAATGTGCTTAACAAGTCACATAATAAGTTGCATGGACTCACTCTGTGTGCAATAATAGTGTTTAACATGATTTTTGAATGACTGCCTCATCTCTGTACCCCACACATAAAATTATCTGTAAGGTCTCTCAGTCGAGCAGTGAATTACAAACACAGATTCATCCACAAAGACCAGGGAGGTTTTCCTATGCCTCGCAAAGAAGGGCACCTATTGGTAGATGGGTAAAAAGTAAAAAAGCAGTCATGGAATATCCCTTTACTTATTAATTACACTTTGGATGGTGTATCAATACACCCAGTCACTACAAAGATACAGGTATCCTTCCTAACTCAGTAGCCAGAGAGGAAGGACATCTCTCAGGGATTTCACCATAAGGCCAATGGTGGCTTTAAAACAATGTTCCTGAGTGGCTGAGTTACAGTTTTGACTTAAATCTACTTGAAAATCTACGGTAAGACCTAAAAATGGTTGTCAAGCAATGATCAAATCTGAACCAATTATGGACGTCCATGTTTGGGCCAAATGAAAGCCGGTCCAGACATCTGTGGACGTTGAAATCAAGGCTGGTCCGGACCGAACCAAAAAACTATGTCTGTGGACATTGAAATCCAGGCTGGGAAAGGTGGCATAAATTGGAGAGAGAGAGAGAAGAGAGGGGGGGTTGTCCAGACTTTTCACACTCTTGCTTTGACCACCAGAAGACAGAAAGAGAAAGAAAACCATTATCAGCTGAACATAACAGTATGACAGTGGAAGGGAGGACAGTAGCAGGTTACCCAACTGTGGTTTGAGACTACTATGATTTCCCATTGTAGCCAATTCAATTGCAGAAATTCCGTTACTGATTTAGGTAACAGAATTCCGTGTTTTAATCACTTAATAATTAATAAACAAAATTGATATAAGTAAAAACTTTCAAGGCACAAGGCAATGTTTCTTAAACTTACAGAAGGCAGAAAAAAACTAAATATAAATGAGGATATTAGTTGGCAGGGGTCTTTACTTCAACATGATTGTATTTTGATGTACAGTGGGGGAAAAAAGTATTTAGTCAGCCACCAATTGTGCAAGTTCTCCCACTTAAAAAGATGAGAGAGGCCTGTAATTTTCATCATAGGTACACGTCAACTATGACAGACAAAATGAGAAGAAAAAATCCAGAAAATCACATTGTAGGATTTTTAATGAATTTATTTGCAAATTATGGTGGAAAATAAGTATTTGGTCAATAACAAAAGTTTCTCAATACTTTGTTATATACCCTTTGTTGGCAATGACACAGGTCAAACGTTTTCTGTAAGTCTTCACAAGGTTTTCACACACTGTTGCTGGTATTTTGGCCCATTCCTCCATTCAGATCTCCTCTAGAGCAGTGATGTTTTGGGGCTGTCGCTGGGCAACACGGACTTTCAACTCCCTCCAAAGATTTTCTATGGGGTTGAGATCTGGAGACTGGCTAGGCCACTCCAGGACCTTGAAATGCTTCTTACGAAGCCACTCCTTCGTTGCCCGGGCGGTGTGTTTGGGATCATTGTCATGCTGAAAGACCCAGCCACGTTTCATCTTCAATGCCCTTGCTGATGGAAGGAGGTTTTCACTCAAAATCTCACGATACATGGCCCCATTCATTCTTTCCTTTACACTGATCAGTCGTCCTGGTCCCTTTGCAGAAAAACAGCCCCAAAGCATGATGTTTCCACCCCCATGCTTCACAGTAGGTATGGTGTTCTTTGGATGCAACTCAGCATTCTTTGTCCTCCAAACACGACGAGTTGAGTTTTTACCAAAAAGTTATATTTTTGTTTCATCTGACCATATGACATTCTCCCAATCCTCTTCTGGATCATCCAAATGCACTCAAGCCAACTTCAGACGGGCCTGGACATGTACTGGCTTAAGCAGGGGGACACGTCTGGCATTGCAGTATTTGAGTCCCTGGCGGCGTAGTGTGTTAATGATGGTAGGCTTTGTTACTTTGGTCCCAGCTCTCTGCAGGTCATTCACTAGGTCCCCCCGTGTGATTCTGGGATTTTTGCTCACCGTTCTTGTGATCATTTTGACCCCACGGGGTGAGATCTTGCGTGGAGCACCAGATCGAGGGAGATTATCAGTGGTCTTGTATGTCTTCCATTTCCTAATAATTGCTCCCACAGTTGATTTCTTCAAACCAAGCTGCTTACCTATTGCAGATTCAGTCTTCCCAGCCTGGTGCAGGTCTACAATTTTGTTTCTGGTGTCCTTTGACAGCTCTTTGGTCTTGGCCATAGTGGAGTTTGGAGTGTGACTGTTTGAGGTTGTGGACAGGTGTCTTTTATACTGATAACAAGTTCAAACAGGTGCCATTAATACAGGTAACGAGTGGAGGACAGAGGAGCCTCTTAAAGAATAAGTTACAGGTCTGTGAGAGCCAGAAATCTTGCTTGTTTGTAGTTGACCAAATACTTATTTTCCACCATAATTTGCAAATAAATTCATTAAAAATCCTACAATGTGATTTTCTGGATTTTTTTTTCTCAATTTGTCTGTCATAGTTGACGTGTACCTATGATGAAAATTACAGGCCTCTCTCATCTTTTTAAGTGGGAGAACTTGCACAATTGGTGGCTGACTAAATACTTTTTTTCCCCACTGTATTTCTAATACATTTTAAGACTTTTTCTGGTACATGTTTTCTAAGACCCCCTTTCCACCAGAAATCAAAGTCTTTGCTTATTCCTTATTTTTAGGATGGAAAACGGTGAAAAAATTTACAGTATATATGCCTTAATAAAAAAGAAAGAATCTTAGCTTTCATTTGACACCCAATTTGACATGTTCCTATGAACTTCACATTGGTGCTCATGGGTGCTTTTGCATGGAAATGACCTAATCTAACCTAGAACATCAGGTATTTCATATTTATATTAGGCACCCTCAAATTATATTAACAAAACAACAGAATTAGGCCTACATGCACTGGCAATTCCAATAAAGGTTGTTCCACACCGTTCACTTTACTGCGAAGGCTCCACAATGTGATGTTTTAATAAACTACGGCAGTGAACTACTACACCAAACACAGTGTTAGCCTGACAATTGTCTGAGACAATAAACAGAGGGCACACAGTCTGTGTCTGCATCCCAAATGGCAACCTATACCCTACATAGTGCACTGCTTTTGACCAGGACCCTTGACCAGAGCCCTATTGGCCCTGGTCAAATGTAGTGAACTATGTAGGGAATAGGGTGCCATGTGGGACACAGACAGACAGGCTCCTTATCTCCTTGTCTTCTAGCTGCACTGCTGCTTTCTTTCATCTGCCCTCCTCCAGAAACACCCTTCTATTGGCTGAGACAACGGTTTCCCATGACAACGCATCCACAAAGGAAACCAGGTCAAGCCCCACCACCTCCCTCTGAGATAAAGCATCCAGTTAGAGACCCAGCCCCAGCCTCACCACAATTACCCACAACTGTAAGGATTTTATATCGCTGCTGCTAAATTTATTATGGACTTTCCAGACAAAAAAAATGTCCCTGCTCCCATTTTAAGGGGGGTCACAGAGCAGACACAGGCTAAGCCCACGACACAACCCAGCCGCTGCCGTAAAACCCTTCATGGGGTAATGAACAGAGCGCTGCCAGACCAAATTGGTTTGCATCCGATCCTGGAGACAGCACAAAAGAGCTCGGTGTCTAATCCTTTACCCAGAACACATTGGGTTGAAGACAGTAAAACCCTCCTAAATACCTCCCCATTTATTCCCACTAAATCACCTTCGTTCAATCGCAGTGTTATCAAACGGTACATAAAGAGACAGCGTGGGCCCCTGATTTCTAGAACATGCCTGAAGCTCAAAAATACCTTATAGAGTGCGTGCCTCAGTAAAAATGAAATTGTTTAATGTACCTATACAGCATGTTGGTCAATGATAGCATATGTTTCTAAATACTCCATTCTGCAGCCTGCAGTATATCGTTCCAAGGTAAATCTTTCAGATATTGCATGTCATACAGGCTGAGAGACGTGGTTCATTCAAGAATGAATACCATAAAAACCGGGCCAAGTGACCATATGACCATACCAGATATTCTTGTCCCAAGTGCAGCTTTTGAACAAGACGATTTTTTAAGCCAAGAGTAGTATAGTATTCGATGGAAGTAAGAAATCATTGTCGTTTGGACATGCTTTGGCAGCAGCATGTGTGCTTTCTCAAAGTGAAATATTCAGGTCTTGAACTTACAACCAAACGAGAGCCCCACAGTAGGATCAATGCCAATCTATTCTTGCTGTTCGAATACTTTCACATTCCTAAACAATTATCCAACCAGAGGGGCAGTAAAATATGACAATACAGTCAAATTAAACAAAGCATAGGCTAACGATCACTCTGTCATAGCATGGTAGAATATGGCGTATCTGAGTGGTCCATGCAACCTCGACAGTCCAGCTCTGTTGCTATTACTGTAAACTAAGGCTGTCCTCGACAAAAAAAATCTTTGTCGACCAAGAGTTGTCTGTTCTTTCGACCAATCGACTGGTCGACATTTTAAAAGGTGTATTTTTCCATTTTTAATAAAATCAACTATATGTAGGCTAGTGAGCTAGCCTGATGCTTTAAGCACACTGTGATTAAATAATTAAGACACACAAATGACTCAAGAGGGAGCCTGAGATCAAGATAGCCTAACCAGAAGAAAAAAGCCTGTTCCCGAGCCTCTACCTCCCCCTGCTGTTGGCCTTCTGCCCTTACGCTCCCGAAGTTACCGTTAATAGGCTACACCAATTGTCGGCAACCTTTTCCATTTGGAGTGCCAATTTATCTTACAATTTCTACCGATCTGCATGCCAGTTATGATTTTCACATGAACATTTTAGTGGAACAGTTTCATGTCTTTTATAATAAAGTCTTCGTATCTCAAAATCATTGTCATTTGATAAATTAAAACTCTATCTAAATGAAAATTATACATTTAAAATAACTTCTATTGCCATTGGCAACTTTGTAAAAATAGTGGCCTGTCTGCAAGGAAATAGTGGCCTGTCTGCAAGGAATTTTATCAACTATCAACTTGGTCCAGCAGGGGGAAGTGGAGGCTCGGAAACACTTTTTTTTCAGTCTACCTTGATCTCTGGCTCCCTCTTGAGTCATTGTATAACATATTCTGGACCCTCAGGGTTTCCGCAAGGGATAAGAAGTAATCAGGTAGGCCAATTTTATGACGTTTCCACCAGATCAGAGCATGACATTTTATTTCCTTTTCACGCCAAGTGGTTATTGAAAGGGAGAGAGCCTAGGTTGTGCACTCTGCAAACGTGTCCACTCTGACAATGAGAACTGTAAAAGACTGAAATAATAATATATTGAATGCATTAACAGAAATTACGGTAACCAAACAAACATAGTAGATTAGAAATTATGTGGATTAACGGTAAATGTATTACTGGTGTGCCATCCCTGCGGCCTCCGCAATGGTTTAGTCCACTGAGACAGGTGTCAATCAAGACGTGCCATAAAACATTTTTTTTGCAACGGCTCGACTAAACCATTATCTGTCGACCAACAGCATATCAACCAAACAATCAACCAGTCGACTAAATGGGGTTAGCCTTACTGTAAATCCTCTAACAATATGTCTGTGTCCCAAATGGCACCCTATTCCCTATATAGTGAACAGAGCCAAAAGTCAAAAGTAGTGCACTATATTGGGAATAGGGTGCCATTTGGGACACAGGCAGAATGCTTTAGGGCAATTCCACGATAACGGAATTACGCTGAGACTCATTTTATTATCTTTAAAATGTATGCCAAACAAAAAACATTGATTTCAAAGTTAAACAAACCATACAACTCTATGCACAAGGACTACTTTGAACAATTTCCACAGAAAATTGCACAAAAACAAATGTAATTTCTCCGGAACATTTATATACTTTTTAGTTGGTAGTTATGAAAATAGCGCTCAGAAACCAAAAGTGGTCCCTGAAAATTGCGTACTTACGTCACATACAGTTGAAGTAGGAAGTTTACATACACTAAGTTGACGGTGCCTTTAAACAACTTGGAAAATTCCAGAAAATGATGTCATGGCTTTAGAAGCTTCTGATAGGCTAATTGACATCATTTGAGTCAATTGGAGGTGTACCTGTGGATGTATTTCAAGGCTTACCTTCAAACTCAGTGCCTCATTGCTTGACATCATTGGAAAATCAAAAGAAATTAGCCAAGACCTCAGAAAAAAGATTGTAGACCTCCACAAGTCTGGTTCATCCTTGGGAGCAAAAACACCATGGGACCACGCAGCCGTCATACCGCTCAGGAAGGAGACGCGTTCTGTCTCCTAGAGATGAACGTACTTTGGTGCGAAAAGTGCAAATCAATCCCAGAACAACAGCACCTTGTGAAGATGCTGGAGGAAACAGGTACAAAAGTATCTATATCCACAGTAAAACAAGTCCTATATCGACATAACCTGAAAGGCCGCTCAGCAAGGAAGAAGCCACTGCTCCAAAATCACCATAAAAAAGGCAGACTACGGTTTGCAACTGCACATGGATACAAAGATCGTACTTTTTGGAGAAATGTCCTCTGGTCTGATGAAACAAAAAGAGAACTGTTTGGCCATAATGACCATCGTTATGTTTGGAGGAAAAAGGGGGAAGGCTTGCAAGCCGAAGAACACCATCCCAACCGTGAAGCACGGGGGTGACAGCATCATGCTGTTGGGGTGCTTTGTTGCAGGAGGGACTGGTGCACTTCACAAAATAGATGGCATCATGAGGAAGGACAATTATGTGGATATATTGAAGCAACATCTCAAGACATCAGTCAGGAAGTTAAATCTTGGTCGCAAATGGGTCTTCCAAATGGACAATGACCCCAAACACACTTCCAAAGTTGTGGCAAAATGGCTTAAGGACAACAAAGTCAAGGTATTGGAGTGGCCATCACAAAGCCCTGACCTCAATCCTATAGAAAATGTGTGGGCAGAACTGAAAAAGCGTGTGCGAGCAAGGAGGCCTACAAACCTGACTCAGTTACACCAGCTCTGTCAGGAGGAATGGGACAAAATTCACCCAACTTATTGTGGGAAGCTTGTGGAAGGCTACCCAAAACGTTTGACCCAAGTTAAACAATTTAAAGGCAATGCTACCAAATACTATTTGAGTGTATGTAAACTTCTGACCCACTGGGAATGTGATGAAAGAAATAAAAGCTGAAATAAATCATTCTCTCTACTATTATTCTGATATTTCACATTCTTGAAATAAAGTGGTGATCCTAACTGACCTACGACAGGGCATTTTTACTAGGATTAAATGTCAGGAATTGTGAAAGACTGAGTTTAAATGTATTTGGCTAAGGTGTATGTAAACTTCCGACTTCAACTGTATGTGCGGATCCAGTGAGGGAAAAAAGTATTTGATCCCCTGCTGATTTTGTACGTTTGCCCACTGACAAAGACATGATCAGTCTATAATTTTAATGGTAGGTTTATTTGAACAGTGAGAGACAGAATAACAACAAAAAAATCCAGAAAAACGCATGTCAAAAATGTTATAAATTGATTTGCATTTTAATGAGGGAAATAAGTATTTGACCCCTCTGCAAAACATGACATAGTACTTGGTGGCAAAACCCTTGTTGGCAATCACAGAGGTCAGACGTTTCTTGTAGTTGGCCACCAGGTTTGCACACATCTCAGGAGGGATTTTCTCCACTCCTCTTTGCAGATCTTCTCCAAGTCATTAAGGTTTCGAGGCTGACGTTTGGCAACTCGAACCTTCAACTCCCTCCACAGATTTTCTATGGGATTAAGGTATGGAGACTGGCTAGGCCACTCCAGGACCTAAATGTGCTTCTTCTTGAGCCACTCCTTTGTTGCCTTGGCCGTGTGTTTTGGGTCATTGTCATGCTGGAATACCCATCCACGACCCATTTTCAATGCCCTGGCTGAGGGAAGGAGGTTCTCACCCAAGATTTGACGGTACATGGCCCTGTCCATCGTCCCTTTGATGCGGTGAAGTTGTCCTGTCCCCTTAGCAGAAAAACACCCCCAAAGCTTAATGTTTCCACCTCCATGTTTGATGGTGGGGATGGTGTTCTTGGGGTCATAGGCAGCATTCCTCCTCCTCCAAACACGGCGAGTTGAGTTGATGCCAAAGTGCTCCATTTTGGTCTCATCTGACCACAACACTTTCACCCAGTTCTCCTCTGAATCATTCAGATGTTCATTGGCAAACTTCAGACGGCCCTGTATATGTGCTTTCTTGAGCAGGGGGACCTTGCGGGCGCTGCAGGATTTCAGTCCTTCACGGCGTAGTGTGTTACCAATTGTTTTCTTGGTGACTATGGTCCCAGCTGCCTTGAGATCATTGACAAGATCCTCCTGTGTAGTTCTGGGCTGATTCCTCACCGTTCTCATGATCATTGCAACTTCACGAGGTGAGACCTTGCATGGAGCCCCAGGCCGAGGGAGATTGACAGTTCTTTTTTGTTTCTTCCATTTGCGAATAATCACACCAACTGTTGTCACCTTCTCACCAAGCTGCTTGCCGATGGTCTTGTAGCCCATTCCAGCCTTGTGTAGGTCTACAATCTTGTCCCTGACATCCTTGGAGAGCTCTTTGGTCTTGGCCATGGTGGAGAGTTTGGATTCTGATTGATTGATTGCTTCTGTAGACAGGTGTCTTTTATACAGGTAACAAACTGAGATTAGGAGCACTCCCTTTAAGAGTGTGCTCCTAATCTCAGCTCGTTACCTGTATAAAAGACACCTGGGAGCCAGAAATCTTTCTGATTGAGAGGGGGTCAAATACTTATTTCCCTCATTAAAATGCAAATAAATTTATAACATTTTTGACATGCGTTTTTCTGGATTTTTTTGTTGTTATTCTGTCTCTCACTGTTCAAATAAACCTACCATTAAAATTATAGACTGATCATTTCTTTGGCAGTGGGCAAACGTACAAAATCAGCAGGGGATCAAATACTTTTTTCCCTCACTGTATGTGCACCACGTCATTTCTCTCTCTCTCTTGGTCTGCTGTGTGTGCATCTTGCTAGCTGTCACTCAAATGGCGAGGGGCTGAAGCTCATTGGCTAGAACTAGAATTACTAGGGGGCTGGCCTACAAGGGAGAAAATGTAGGGAAAATGGCACAGCACAGCTTCCAGAAAAACAGTTGCTTTCAAACTAGGGATTTCGTGGCTAATTGAGGTAAGACTATAATTCTGCTAATAGATTATGCATGTATGAACTACACATTGACACATCCAGCCCAAAGTGGGAAGTTTAAAAAATACTTATTAATCACCAATGGTCCGGAGCACGTCTTTAAATATCTGCTCCGAATTAAGATTCAAAGATGTCTGCAGAAAGAATTGGGTGCCAGCTATGACAAAAAAATATATTTTGGTTATTGAACTACAGTAAGTGAAGTGGATTTACACCCGGTAACAGAATTATGGTAACGGAATGACATCATGGGTCCCTGATCTGTCCTACACAGAAATGCATATTTATGGATATGAATGTCATAAAAAACAAACACACCCATCAGTAAAAAGGTCCTCAATCAGCTTTCTGAATTGCCCTAAAGGCACCAAAACATCAAATTTAAGAACATTGTGAAGATTGTTCCACAAATTAGGTGCACGAAAACGAAAAGCTGATTTACCTAACTCAGTAGAGACCAAAGGAGTTTCCAGAGTTAACCATCCCTGAGACCGGTGTGGTAACTCGTATGTCTAAAGTAAAGATGTTAGTACAGTGGGACTTTATAAATAAATAAATGAAAACATACAGTAGCAATGTATCAACCTACATGACATCAAAGAGCGCCAACCAACTTTTTGGTAGGGAATGCAATGATGAGTACCACATTTTTTGAACGTAATAAAGCGCAGTGGGCTATGATAAACTGCATCTAACGGCTTTATTAAAGTGGCAGCTGCGTTCATATAGATGATGTCGTCATAGTCTAGGACAGTTAGGAACGTCGACTGAATAATCTGCTTTCTACAATTTAGTGAGAGGCAGGACCTATTTCTCTAGGACAGTTAGGAACGTCGACTGAATAATCTGCTTTCTACAATTTAGTGAGAGGCAGGACCTATTTCTATAGAAGAAGCCCATTTCTATTCTCAGCTTCTTAACTAACTCATCAATGTGCTTTTTAAAAGACAGCTTTTCATCTATCCAGATGCCCAGATATTTGTAAGCAGGGACACGATCAATATGGACAGCATCCAAAGTACATATGCTTAAATCATCAGAGTTATTTTTATGTGCTCTAGAAAACAACATATACTTAGTTTTACCTGCATTCAATACTAATTTCAGGTCAATAAAGTTTTTCTGTAATACAATGAAGGCAGACTATCGCCTGGTCAACCGTTGGGACAATAGCATACACAACAGTATCATCGGCATACAAGTGCAGGTTACAATTCTTTTTACAGACAATATTGTCGATATTGTTAATGTAAACAGTAAAAAGTACAGGACACAGAATTGACCCCTGCGGGACACCTTTCGTGATATCCAGGAAACCTGATTTAACACCATCAGTAGATACACATTGAGTTCTATCTGTCAAGTAATTTTTAAACCAGTTACATGAAGCCTGGTCTAGGCCAATTAAGGAAAGCCTCTGAATTAGCATTGCGTGATCAACAGTATCAAAAGCATGTGACAGGTCAATGAAGAGGGCAGCACAATGTTGCCTTTTATCCATACAGTTAACTACATAATTTATAACTAGGGATGCAGCAGAGAGATAGTGCTATGACCTGGTCTAAAACCCGACTGATGTCCATATAGAATACATTTCAAAGATAAGAAAGATCTTACCTGAGAATTAATCAAGGATTCTAATATTTTAGCTAGGCAAGAAAGTTTAGAAATAGGGCAATAATTATTTAGGTACATGGGCCGCCTTCCAAACCTTGGAGATAGTGCCAGATATAATTGTCAGGTTACAAATATGGGTTAATGATTCAGCAATCAGGGGGGCAGAGAGCTGCAGCAAAAATGGATCAAGCATATCAGCCCCAGTGGATTTTTTTTTAAGCAAGGCATCTAGCACATCACAGATAGTAAATTGTTTAAATGAGAAGTTGATGGGTTAATCGTCGAGTCAGCTAGAGGCTGGCAGAGGGAAGAGCAGTCGATTGACTGACCAGGGTCAATCAAACCACAGTTTCTCTCAAATAAAAAGCCTGCTGAGATAAAATTATGATTAAAAGCATCACTTTCCCATTCTTCTCAGTTATGATGCCAGAGTCAGACAGAACTTGCTTAGGCAGGGAAGAAGAGGAATTTGTATGTTTCAGTGCATTTACTGTTTTCCAAAATTTAGAAGGATCACCAGCAGAGTCAGAGATAGAGCTTAAAAAGTATCTTGATTTAGCTTTCTTAATCGAGATAGTACATCTGTTTCTCAATTGTCTGAAAGATTGCCAGTCCACTACAGAGTCAGTTTTCCTTGGTTTGGCCCAGGCCTGATTTCTCATCTGAATGAGCTCAGATAGCTCCGAAGAAAACCAAGGGTTAGATCTATCTTTGACTCTGAATTGTTTAAAAGGGGTGTGTTTATCTGCCAGAAGAATGAATATGGAGGAGAAATGTTCTAGAGCCAACTCAGGGTCAGAAATACAGGAGATAGTGGCTAAATCAGAGTAGAATATGTCATGTAAAAACCCTTGAGGAGAAAACATTTTAAATGTCTCTTCTTAATTAAATGAGGATTAGTATTTTGCTGTTTCATATCTCTAATACATACTATGGGACAATGATCACTGAGATCATATGCAAATACTCCACTAGAAAAATATGAATAGGGTTGTTAGTAAGAATTAAATCAATCAATGAGGAGTTAACAGGGTTTTTCACATTTAGCCGTGTGGGTTTTGAGATCAATTGAGTCAGATAAAAATCAATGCATATACTCTTAAATTTATCTGAGGCCGGGGATAGCCAATCCAGATTCAAATCCCCTAAAATGTCCAACTCCGTGGACAAAAAAGGTGTTAAACACTCGGATATAGCACCAATAGCATCCGACATAGCAGCAGGGAGGCGGTAAAATCCCAGCAACAAATAAATGTGTATTCTGGTTTATGGACACACAACCAGGAGCTCAAAGATTTGACATATATGGCCACTCCTCCCCCTTTCTGTAATCTGCCACATCTAAATACATTATAATAATTTCCTTCAATTTATCAGAGTCAGAACCATTTAACCATGTTTCCAGAATGTCAGGACACGAGTCCTGTACCCAAATGTTAATTGTGTAAATTTTTTAAATCATACTTCGCACATTTAGGTGCAATAGCCCAAGCCCCCTACAAGATTTAAACAGAGGGGGTATTCAGCTCTTTCCCATAAGAGCTAACAGGCATAGGGTCATCTGCAGCTATTTGTTGAGTGAGCTGAGACTTTGCCAAGGTCCTTGGCCAACCACGTGAGAGCAGAGCAGACTGAGCATTTGACAGACCTCCCTCAAGTTGCTGGATGCAGGGGCTGGGGCAGGAACTGGGAGAGCAGTGTTGGCAGAGCTCAGTCCACCCAGATGAAGCTCCTGCCAAAGGAGTGGAGCCACTACAGGGGACTGGAGTGGTTGCCAATGCTCCATTCTGGGTGTGCACAGGAGGCCTTGGTGTGGCTCCTGTTGTGAGGTTGGGGCTGCCATGGGGGGCAGGAGTGTCCCAGGCCTGTCCTGGGGATGGGAGTAGGGAGGGTAACCAAAACTAGCCTGGGAGGGAGGTTGTGGGGGAATTGAGGAGGGCAGTGTGGAGGGCAGTGTGGCTGACGAAGCTCCAAACTCTCAGGATATGAGGGCTGATGATGTGAATGATACATGGTGTGGAATGCATCATGTGGTGCACTACCCTCAACAGTGTTTTGCCAGACCCCAGGGTCGTGGTCGGTGCTGTGTATAGCTGGGCTGAGTTGACGTGGGCCTGGTCTAGTAGAGCTGTGCTGTGATGGGCCGTGTCTGGTTGAGCTGTGCTGTGATGGGCCTGGTCTGGTTGAGCTGTGCAGTGATGGGCCTGGTCTGATAGAGCTGTGCTGTGATTGGCCGGGTCTGGTTGAGCTGTCCTGAGGCGGGCCTGGTCTTGTAGAGCTGTGATGAGGCGGGGTTGATCTGGTAACATGGGAGGGACGTTGTAGGGGGAATTGAAGAGGGTGTTGTGGAGGGCAGTGTGGCCGGCGATGCTCCAAACTCTGCATGGGGCTCTTTGACTGCGTACGGCTTGGGCATAGCTCAGTGTATCTGCATGCAGTTCCTGGGAGAGAAGTGGTGGAGGGTGGTGTGTCTCTCATCTGGAGCAGGGTAGATATATCATCGCAAGGGGGAAGATGGTGGAGGCCCTATCTATCACTCCCCTTAGTGATGTGGCCAGCCTCTCTTGTTGGACACGCAGGTCATTGGTCCCCGTCTGAATGATGATATGGCTTGGGGAGCCAAGCTGGGTCACAGTGAAGAGCTCCATAGCGCTCTCTGTTGTGGGGCACCATTACTTTGCCACCTTTTTATTTGGGAAAAGTTTATTCTCTAATATAAACGTTCCATTGGAGTCCACCATTACAGTACAGTAGAGTACAGTTCAGTACAGTACATTATAGTACAGTACATTACACTGTACTCTACTGTAGTGTGCTCTACTGTACTGTACTGAACTCTACTCTACAGTAGGCCTACTGTACTGAACTATACTCTACTTTTCTTTACTGTACTGTACTGTCCAAACCTGTGAAACATAGATGTTAGGGCAGCATGATATGGGCAAATCGAATTGTGATTTTTTAAACCAAATATGTGACTCGTTTCAGGAAACTAGGCCTTTGTCGCGGGTCACTACTTCACAGGAGAGCCATTTGAACATACACTTTTTTTTTTTTTTATCAAAATGCTGGAACTTTCATGTGCCTTAATAACAAACGTGTATGCCATCTGTAAATTGGTAAATTACGAGCCTAGTTGGTTTAGCCACAGAAAAAGACAGCAACCTTCCCGCTAGCCATGATTGGCTGAGATAATGAGTGGGCTGGACATGCCGAGAGATGAGTTCGGATTGGTCTGCCATAAAGCACGCTTCTGTCTATTTGAGCTGGCCAGTATGTGTAGGTAATCCTGTCTAATGTGGCTTTTAATTTTTTTTATTGCGTAGTTAAACTGCATAAGTGTTCCTCTCCATTTTCTGGAGGACCGAGTTTTGAAATCAGTGGAATTAGAGTATTAAACCTAAGGAGATGGAGAAAACAGTTGTCTCTGGATTACATCTTCAAACTAAGGGCAACCTTCCGTGAGGGAGACGCATCCATCCATGATGTATGCGGGTAAGATAGTCTAGCTAGCTACATTTTCAGATATTACACATTTCTAATTTTGACAGAAAGTGGTTTCATTTCAAGTTAAAGTGTACTGTTAGCTAGTTAACGTTAGCTGGCTGGCTCGCTAGCTAACGTTACGTGTATGATCTTATTATTCATATCTCAGAGACATTTGCTTTGCTAGTTATAGCCTAATGTTAGCTAGCTAACATTGAACCTAGTTGGTTAGCTACCTGCAGATCCATGTAGTAACGTCATGAGTTGGGATTATGGTTCCTTGATTACCTAGCTAGCTGGCTACATGTCTTAACAAAAGACTCCACTATGCAAGTAACCATTTCGGGTGCGTTCATAAATTTAGTCTGAGTATGCCAGAGCACAGAATAACTGATGAATTTACGAACGCTCAACACCCGTTGAATATGGCCGGTGTCAGTAAACGTCGGCAAAAAAGTGTAATTACATTTTTGTCAGCAGCACAGTTACAGTCACCAACGCTCTGGATAACATGAAAACAGCCTAACCAGCTTTGCTAGGGTGAGTAAAATGGTCAGTGGGGTGTTCTGTCATTTGTGTCTGGAAGTAGCTAGCAAGCTAGCCAATGTTAGCCAATTAGCTTGGGTGCTTGACTGCCGTTGTGAGGTCAGAACGCTCGGATCAACCCTACTCATTGGCCAGAGCATCAAGTGTGTGCTCTGAACGCTCCGAGAGCGAAACAAGATGGGTGGGGCTAAAGTTTAAGAGGGTGTGAATGATGCTGAATGGGGTGTAGACAAAGAAGAGCTCTCCAGTAGCTACCAAAACATTCAAAAGTGAGATTACAAGTTTCTCAACTTTTAAAGCAGAATTACTTTCCCATTTTTCCTCAAATACAATGTATGATATACCATTTTCTAGCTCTGTGTCTCCTTTTTTATCCAATGTAAAAAATAAAATTTCAAATTTTGCTACATAAGACCGAATCAAGGCAGTCTGTCACATATTGCGATTGCCCCAAAATAATGAAAACACTTAAATGAGGTATACAAAGTATATTGAAAGCAGGTTCTTCCACACAGGCGTGGTCTTTGTCCTTGAGTTAATTAAGCAATTAACATCCCACCATGCTTAGGGTCATGTATAAAAATGCTGGCAGGCCATTATTTGCTACCATGGTTATGCCCCCATAGGATGACAATGCCTCCATCCACAGGGCATGTGTGGTTACTGAATGGTTTGATGTGCATGAAAATTATGTAAACCATATGCCATGGCCGTCATCAGATCTCAACCCAATTGAACACTTATGGGAGATTCTGGAACGTGTCTGAGACAGCATTTTCCACCACCATCAACAAAACACAAAATTATGGAATTTATTGTGGAAGAATGGTGTCGCATCCCTATAATAGAGTTCCAAAAACGTGAAGAATTTATGCCAAGGTGCATTGAAGCTGTTCTGGCGGCTTGTGGTGGCCCAATGCCCTCTTAAGACACTTTATGTTGGTGTTTTCTTTATTTTGGCAGATACCTGCAGATCAAAACACTTAAGTGAACTGTTGGAAGCATCGAAATATAATGCTTTATATTAAAAAACAAAGTGGAAAGCAGCATCATTCTTGTTTGGAACAATCTGTTGACCATAGAAATTACATTATATTTCTATGCTGTTGACTGCATTTGACCTAACAGAACAGCATGCAAACTTATAGTGGATCTAACAGCGAGGAGGAACTGCGCTGCTTGAGTGACGGGGCAGGGCTTGATGTGTGTTAGAGATGTGACAAATGGACAATTCTTCTTAACGTTTATACTGCCATTTTGTTATCGGTTTTCCACGTGAATTCACAATGCAGATGGTCTACGACAAGGAGATAATTATTTTTTGTATAATTTATGTTGCTAGTGCTCTTGCTTTTCACGAGAGTGGCTCGTTTAGCTTGTTGTCGTTGTCGTTCAATCACAAGTCATCAAACCGGCACTAGGCTACAGTCATACAGCTAGAGCCTGTGTTAAGTTATTAGGAGATATCTAGGCTAATCAATGGAAGATGGAATTAAAATGACAGAACTCAAAGTTATATAAGAAGGACAGGCTACAACATCAAGAGCCAACAGGTAGGCTGCTACTTAATAATCTGAATGGAGTTGTTGTTATTTACTGTAGGATTCGGAAGGGGAGAAAGCGCACAGTTGAAGTTATGTAGTCTCAATTAGCCTCCTCATGAGGGAGAGAAATTAGGAAATATCTTTGTGGGGTTTTGGTAACGGAATTACAAGGCAATGTTTCTTAAACTTACAGAAGGCAAATAATTTCTCCATAAGAAAATATAAACGTGTTGATATTAGTCTTTACTTCAACATTATTATGTTTTGATCTAATTCTAATACCTTTTAAGACTGTGTCTGGTAGATGTTTTCTAAGACCCCTTTTCCATCGGAAAATGGTTGACAAATGTATCTATGCCTTTATTTGCCAAAAATATAGCTTTCATTTGACACCCAATTTGATATGCTCCTATGAACTTCACATGTTGGTGCTCATGGGTCCTTTTACATGTAAATGACCTTTACTAACAAGGACACGTAAGCTGGAGCACATGCATCTAACAGAGAGTCTCTAAGGGTTCGATCAGGGCTGCTCTTTATGTTGTATCTATGCTCAGCCAGTCAGCCAGTCAATAAGGCCAGTCAGCCAGTCAGTCAGCCAGTCAGCCAGTCTAACCACCAGCCTTAGAGCCCCGGGAGGAAGAACACCCAGACCAACCCAGACCCAGGAAAAACAGAGAATAAAAACACACAGGTCAATGCTGCTAGTCATCACCTCACTACAACATCCATAAAATTGTGCTTTTATTAATAATAATAATATGCCACTTAGCAGACACTTTTATCCAAAGCGACTTACAGTCATGTATGCATACATTTTAACGTATGGGTGGTCCCGGGGATCGAACCCACTACCCTGGCGTTACAAGCGCCATGCTCTACCAATGGAGCTACAGAGGACCAGAAACCACCACATTAACCGCCAGACTGACAAGTCAACTGACAAGATCAACACCTTTGAGGTTTGCTGGTTTCTGCAAAACTGCGAGTCCTAGATACGAGCCAATATTTACCATAAGTCCTAATCAAGATACAACCCTGCAGACAAGAGAGAAAAATATTGATGCACAGGTTGGTTAGGTGTTTTAACAGAATATTGAGTGCTTGCTCCTCAGTTGTACAAATGTGTCTTGTGCTAGAAAATGTTGTCTGGGAAATGAATATGCTGTGTCCCACTGGGCAAACACTGACTGAATCAACATTGTTAGCACGTCATTTAATAAAAATAAAATGTTGTTGAATCAACTTGGGAAACGTATTGGATTTGCAAAAAGTCATCAACGTAAGGGAATTTAGAACTTTAAACCTAAATCCAATGACATGGTAACATTGTTGTTGATTTCACATTCAATTCAAGTTAGTTGACAACTCAACCAAATGTAAATCAAAACTAGATGTTAAAATGATGTCTGTACCCAGTGGGGTATTGTCCTCACATTGCCATTAATGAATTGTGACAAAACATATTTGCCTTACAAAACAACGTAACAATGTCAGTGAAATGCCACAATCCCTTTTATCAGGCAGCATTATTTTCCTGGAAAGAGCAAGGACTCAAGAAAGAGGCAGGGAGAGGAAGGGGGAGGGAGACCGAGAAAGAGGGAAGGGGTGAAGAAGGAGGGGAGAGCTCGCTCTCTGGCATAGGTTGAGTGACGGCGAGGGAAAAGCATCTGGTATGAAAACACACTCTGGCTCAGAGGAGAAATACATGCAAATGATGGGTCATAACAAATGAAAGGCATGACTACATCTCATAGAAATCAGGCGGCAAGCATAGAAATCAGGCGGCAAGTCCCTTAGGCAGAGAGCTTCAGATAAGCTTTATACTGTAAGCATGAATGACAAGACCACTGTATTTTATATTTAAATGTTTTCGTTGCTAAAGCGAAGTGAGATAATGACATCAACAATCTCTCTCTTTCTCCGCCCTCATTTATGCAGAGAAAAGGAGGGAAAACTGACAGGAGAGGAATAAACAGAGAGGAGAGGATGAGTGCAGAGGAGGGTGTGTTTGTATTACAAACATCCCCAAAGAGCTCCAATACAACAAAAACATGCTGGGTGCTTTTCTA